ATTTTTTACGGACTATATTTGATTCATTTTGTGCAAATGGTTATGCATTTTTTGTATTATTGATATGCAATACTACATCATTGATATACATATATATATATATATATATAAATGATAACTAAGTTTTTGTCTAATTATCTAGTTATGTTGATCTGTGATAGTATATCAGTGATATATAATAGTATATCAATGATATAATATCACGAATCAGTAAGACAAAATATACATAATCATTCGTCTAAAACGGATCAAACACAGTCCATAAAAAATTTTGGACTCTTAGTTTATCATAGAGAGTCAAATACTCAAATTAATAAAATAAAAAATCATGAATCTGTTGCTCCATTTCCCCACCGACGTGCTCCATTCCATCGAGCATCGTCAATGTATCTCACTTTGCATTTGTCTATCGCAATCATGACTATGGCTTACTTACACTGTTCTGCTATCTCACATTCGTCTCTCTTAAATATTCTGTCTTCTCTCTCACATTCATCTCTAAAAAAGGTCATTTTAAACTATATATCTCACATTCATTGCGTTTATTTTTAGAGATTTATTAGATTTTAAATCTTTTGGTATTTGCAAAAAGCATATATTAAAAGAGTGGTTTTGTAAATTAAATATAAACTAAATATTAAAAAATTCATTTTTAAAATTTAAGAAATAATGGGCTATTTCTTTTACTTGATTTTATAATATGAGTTATGTGTGCAAAAGCCCCATTTAAATATGGGATCTCGTGCTTGACTGGCAATAACTCATTCCACTAATAACGTGTTATATGGGCATTTCCTTTTTCAAAGGATATTACCATTTTTTTCACAGCTCATTTTTTTATATGATTATTTAATTAAATTATATTTTCAAATGGATCCAATTAAAAATAAATCTATTTAAAATATTTTTTACATTCACACGAACTTGAATCTAGAACTTTATACTTAATGGGTCTTATCCCATTCCACAAGTAACAATACATCACACAATGATAGTTTATTCTTGAATCTCAGCTGTTTCTTTCAATATTATAACTATAAGGCTAAAATATATAAAACTCTTCTAAACTTTGAGGCAATTACATATGAACCTTTCACATTTAAACTGTTTGCACTTTAATTATGAATTTAAAGGCCCATGCTCTACTTAACTTAATTGACCTTAAAATAATTAAAAAAGAATATTTATGAAGCCTTAGCCACTAAGTTAAGATCGGGTCTAGGTCAAATCTCTACTAATGATACTTGAATTATAGATGGTGGGAAAGTGGCCATAGTAGAAAAAAGTGACAATTATAGGACTTAGGCACTAAGTCAAGATCATTTATAAATAGAGAATCATTCTCTCAATAAGAATCATTATCAGCATTAAAAAACTACTAGTTAAATTTTTAGACTCTACGTCTGCTACTTTATTTTATTTTTTCTTTTATCATGTAGATTTAGTCTTTACTTTTCTATTGTATGGCCGGCATAGCCCGCCACCTCTTTCTTTAATTAATATATTTATGCTTCCCTGCATTTACATTAATTTTTTTCACTTCACATTCTCACATCCAAGTGAACTATGGTAAAGGAGCTTGGATCCTCCATGTTTGATTAAAAGTTAGATTCTTCCATCCTTTTGAGACCATGCATCTCTAGCATACCTCGTGACACTGCTTTTCATTTTTGCTGAACAATTTTTGGCATGTTTGGTAGGACAAATGTGAATGGAATGCCTAGGATGCGTAAGGATCAAAATGTTATTGGAAAGAATGGACTTAAGTCTTATGACCCAGAGAATGTGGCTACATACGTAAAACATAAAGTACAAGCCTCTCATATTATAGTGACTATGGGGTGATAGGTAACACCTCCTCAAGGAATGCCATGCTCACTAGCTTGAGACGAGAGTCTCAAATCCTCTTGCTCAAGTAAACCTCTTATTATTGTGTCCAATGATGTTCAAGCTTTGTTTATGATAATGATGCAGAACTGTATTGATAAGCAACCAATGACCTCACAAGCATTTGTAGAGGAACTCGAGAGACAACATTTAAAAAAGCTACAAAAGCAAACTAAAGCTTTGGAGAAGTTGGAATGCCAGGCTGATGAGAGGCAAAAAGCCTTGTTGCAAGCTCTGAAGGATAAGCTAAGGAACATTTTCACTATGTTGTCTAAACCATCACAAGATCAAGCTCCAATTGGCTAGCACATTTAGAGAATAGATAGACTCAGGGGTAGTCTCCCAACGTGCCCTTCGACTAGAAGATCAATTATGAGGATTGTTCATCCCTCAAAGGAGAAATGATGGATTTAACCAATGGTAGGCTCGTTCAGTCACTAGGGAGGACAAAGGGCAAGACATTATGAGGAAGAACGATAGTACCATTAAGGCACCTTTCATAAAAGCTCTTCATAAGTGGCACCACTCAGCTAATGGTCTCAACAAGTCTCTCCAAGAAATACAAAGAGATTTCAAGGCTAAAGTCGAGCCTATAAGTCAAGTCATCATTAAAAAGCTCAAGGGCAATTTGTATGGGCTCACTAAGAAGACTCCATCTCTAAAGTGTCTTTCCAGGCCAATTTCTAGGTTAAGGAGAAGTTGACAACTTTACCTAGGATATGGGAAGAAACTCGAAAGTCTGTAAAAAACTCAAGGCTCTAAAAAAGAGATGAGTAAGATCTTAGGCTAATAATTGCTGCAACCCTAATTAGACTGTCAATTCTTGAAACCATGGAGCTTGGCTTGTCATAATCATTAAGTCTTGGGATGTCACTTGTTGCAGCCCCAGTACTTGAGCTTCATTTCCTATAGCCCCTAGTTTATCAAACTCAAATGACTTTAATATAAAGGAGTCATATTTTAAAAGATTGGATCCTAAGCCACCAATTCCACAAGGAACACCACAAGGCCTAAAGTCAGAAAGGTGAGCTCTGCAAGGGCCCTCTCTAAAGGAGCTCTCCCCTAAGGGCTCTCTCTACAAGGGTAAAAGTCATAAAGTTGAGCCCTACAGCAACTGGATTTTGCAAAACCAGCTCTTGAGGTCCTAAAACTTAAAGGCCCAATTTTGAAACCATCTCTTGAGGTCCCAAACCTTAAGAAACTTGATCCTAAGCTAGATCAAGTGGCCCCTGATCCTCAACCACAATAGTGTCCTCCAAGGAAAGTACCAGATCAACTATTAATCAAAATGAGAATGAGCCAATCCTCCAAAACATACTACTCACGCAACGCTTAGAAGTAGGGCCAATGGAAATATCTGTACAAAATTGGCCTACGAAGGCTCTAGCTAATTGGTATGTGAGGGACATTATTAGTACCTAAATTGTGAATTTAAAAGCATAGGCTCAACTCAATTTAATCAACCTTAAAATAATTAAAAATATATTCATGAAACCTTAGCCACTAAATTAAGATTAGGTCTAGGCTATCATCTCTACCCATGATGCTTGAGTTATGGAAGTTGAGAAGGTAGCCACAATAAAGAAAGTGCTTCTTAAGTTCAAGGAAAGTGGCGATCATAAGGCTTGGATACCAAGTTAGAATTATTTATAAATAGAGGAGCCCTCTCTCAATAATAATCATCATCAGCATCAACAAACTATTAGTCAAATTTTCAAACTCCACATCTACTACTTTATTTTATTTTAATTTTTTATCATGTAGTTTTAGTCTTTAATTTTTTTTATACGGCTAACATAGCCAATCACCTTTTTATTTAATCAATGTATCGTTACTTCCCTGTATCTATATTAATTTCTTCACTTTTCATTCTCACATTCAAGTGAACTATGGTAAGAGAGCTTAGGCTCTCCCCGTTCAATTAAAAGTTAGATTCTTCCGTCCTTTTGAGATCCCACATTTTTGGCACGCCTTATGACACCTATTTTTTGTTTTTGCCAAACATAAACATTTAAAATTAACCCCCAACCTGTATTTTTGTTTTTCAAACCCCTTACAGTTAATTAACTCTACAATAAAATATAGTGACCTCTATTCCATTTTTTTGAAATTATAATGACCTCTCATTTATTTTTAAAACATGCACTTTAATCCAATTATTAACACCCTTATAAACATTTCGTTTAAGATTTTAAAATACTTAATTTTTTATTTGTAATTATGTTAAAAATTTTGAAATTATTAATTTTCCCTTAAATTTAATTTTCTACTCTCTCTCCTAATTTTAAAAAAAATAATAATTAAGTATATAGATATGTAAATAAATAAGTTTAAAATTTTGTGTTAAAATTAATAAAATTTTAAAAATAAATATAACATATGCTAAGAAATTTATTATATCAAATGATTATTTTGTTGCTAGCAAAATAAATAAATAAATAAATAAATTCAGTTGTACTTAAACAAGGGTATTTTGATTTGACAAATATAACTTATGGTTAAGTAATAATTTGATGGATGAAAATAAAAACTTAAAAATAGAGAGAGTATTTGTATTTTGTGATGAAAATGAAAACTTAAAAATAAAAAAAGTGTTTGTGTTTTGTATCTATGAGATTTGTATAGGTTTTAAAAATAAAATAAAAGCATTTATAGTTAAGATAAAATAGAGAAAAGGTGAAAGTATTTTACTTTTAACTCTGTTATATTAGTAACAGAGTTTACCTCAAATATTAATTAATAAATAATATGTAGGGGTTTAGAAAAATAAAAATAAAGGTTAGAGAAGTTATTTTTAAAATGTAAAGAAATATTATGCAATTGTTTCAAAATTTAAATTTTTTTTATGTATTTTAGCATAATAATAAATATATACATACTATCTTTATAACATTTTTTGCCATATTATATTTCTAACATTTACATGCTATTAAGATGTGTTTCGGGATAAATATTTAATAGACAAAAAATGGAAAATCGTTTTGGATTTTAATAAGAAAGGATTAAATTTTTCACGCAAAAAAGAAAGGATCATATTTACTTTTCAATTTTATTTATTTATTTATTTACTTTTCAAGGTTTAAGGAAAAATTGCGTTGTTTATTGAATGATAATCGGAGTTGGCGAGGGAAGGATTCAAGGAAGGGAAGAGGATACTACTATTTCTGAACCAGTGAGGATGGAAATGGGAGAAGACGAGTCGATAAGCGGCAATGGTTCAAGCTCCAAAACGACTCAGGAGCTGGCGTTGGAGGGCCAGAAGCATCTGCAAGACACCATCGACTACGCTTTCCAGATCCTTTCTTCCATCAACCGCGAGCTCTGCAATGCCGCCCTGTGGTCTAATCGCTCACCCATTTCTCCTTCTTCGGTCCCAAACGGCGTCGTACCGGCGGATTCACCTACTGATAACGCTGAGAATACCGTTGGTGGTGGCGCTACTGGCGGTGCTCTGGAGGATGCTCGCTTTCGGTATAAGAATTCTGTGGCCGCACTACGTGCCATTCTTGCTGCTATTCCCAACGCTCAGAAGGTACAATTACGAACCCTAGTTTGCCTTTAAATTAACACTCTATTTGCGTTGTTCTGGAAGTACATTTTAGTCATTTATTGTTAATTCTTCAAACATTGAATTAAGTTTTTTTCTTTAAATTAACTGTATAAGGAATTGGAAGTCGTTCGTACTTAGCAGATACTGCAATACTACCCTTTGTTTTTCCCCATCGAACACTCTACTCTATGAATGAAAGTAATTCCAGAAGGATATTAGCGGCCAATGAAAAATTTGGTCACAATGTCTGACCTGCTTGGAATTCAGAAATCATGCGGTGTAAGATTGTGGTTTCATGACATTAAAGAATATCGTTGCACAATATTTCACGTTTCTTAAATATATATATATATATATATATATAATTGCACAATAGCAAAGTAGTAAATCTTTTGTTTTCCCGGTTAACTCATTCTTTTGGCATATAATAGGCCAAAGCATCTGACAGTGGCTTAGCTGCTAGCCCTTCGGATCAAGCTGAAATTGAGAACTTGGAAGAGCGAGCCTCTTGTCTAAGGAAGGTTGGTTGGAAATAGCAGTATAAATTTTAATTCTGCACGCTGTCACATTATTTTTTATTGTATGAACATTGGAATCCATGCAAGGTTATCTAGTCTCAATTGAATCTAACATTGTTCTTTCAAAAAGGTTTTTAAAGCTGAAGCTGGAATCCCTTAGCTTTGGCGGATGCTATTATTGCCTTTCAGTTCCAAACTCAATATGTTAACAGTCTGTCATTGTTTTGTTTGGAGGGGAAAAAACACAGAGAAAAAGAGAACAATATTACACTGTGTTAAACTGCTTTTGTTTATAAATAAATACAGGAGCTTGCCAACAAGAATATGCACCTGAAGATTCTCATGGATCAATTGCGGGATCTTATAAAGGATATATCCACTTGGCAAAGTCCTTGTTCAGTCTGAAGTTTGAGCGATAATACATTCATTGTGAAGGTGGTGCATTGCAATGGAAAAGTTGGGTCTTGGTACCTGTAAGTGCTCATAATGATTCTTGATACTTTTAACACTTGAAGTTGCATTAATTGATCAAAAGTTAAAACTATGTTCTTAACCGACCCATTTGTTTTTCCCCTCTTTGAATCCAATGTGGGAGCATTGAACTTCTGTATCTGGTTATCATATTACCTAATCTCGTGTATGTTCATTCGATGGATAAGGAATATTTTTAATATGCTTTCCCAAGTTTCAGTTTCCGATCCATGGCCTGACAATCCGCTTTCATTGTTCTATGGCAGCAGTGCATCATTTTTTCAGTGGAATTCTGGCTAGATTTTGTTCTCTGCCCAGATTGTGAAAGACAGGTCACAATTTAGCACGCTCGTAGTCTCTGTTCTTGCTTAACTGCTTGAGACTCTGTTTACCCCCCGGAAAACCAAAAAGAAAAAAGAGAGAGAGTATTATTCGCAGTATGCACTACGTCCTCTGAACCTGTTTTTGATCAAAGATTGGTAAGGATATTTTTTGCATGTTGAATATCCAATGCTGCATTTTCTTTTGAGCACAATTGGCTCTGAGAAGAGTCATTTTAGGCATCTATGAGTATGCCGCTGCTTACCTTTATCGAAACAGAGAAGCTACAGAACAAAGTAAATTGCAAGTTGTTGGCCCAAATAAACGTGTAAGATGGATTCGTATCTCTATGTTTTGGTGGTTGTATGTCGGATTTACATCTTTAAATTTTGCTCAAGTGCAAACCGAACTCCCTGTATATGGGTCAACCATTGGTGACTCTGACGAAGACTACACTTTTCTCATATGCAATGATAGCCAAAGATGGATGACAAACTCTCCTTGCGAAGTTCATCAGGCCATATATATTTATAAAGCACTCTTAGCGAAAACAGGGGGAATGATAACTACAAAAGCAGAAAGAATAAAGTGATTGCTAATTTGCTGCAATCACTTAAATTTAGTGTTATTCCTTTTCCTCTTTCAATTGTAAAGAACAGAATTTCAGCATCGCACACTTCTCTTCTACATCTTTCAAGTATCAACCCTAAAAGGATTACTTAACTACATGACCCGTTCTTAACTAGATACATTACAAAGGCAGGCACAAACCACACTGCAATAATCTATTATTCTCTTTCTTTTTAATTGTGAGGTGAAGATCTGGTGGTGAGGGATGATCTCATATCTACAATAGCAGACTCATCTGCCCCTAGCTTGATAGCTTCTTTGCTGGCTCTTATGAATCTTGAAACAGCTCCTTTAACATATCCATCAGCTTCCTTTACGCTCTTCTTCTTGCTCATTTCTTCTGGGAAACTGCTCAAGAAATGGTCCCCATTCAGAACAGCAGCCAATTGGACCAGCTCACTCTGAAACTCTGATAACCCTGCATCTTCCTTTGCTTCACTCCTACTTAGAGGCGTAACTTCTGGCAAAGTCTCTGCAGCACGAAATTTCAAGCTTTCATCAGTTTATGTTCATAATGGTGATTGTCTGACAAATAATTCGCCTCACCAGTAATTTCTCATCATTCAGTCAAAGAAGATGTGTCTTTTTCCCCACTTCTTGCTTGCAATAGCTTACAGGTTATATTCCTTTGTTAATTTAGAATTCATGTTCAGGTATATGTTTCTAGAATCTACCTAAACGTGAATAATTTTAACCGAATAGACATCCAAAAGTAAGGAAATGAATACCTGGGCAATCCGCTCTGGGTGAGTTTAACTCTGAAACAATACTCTCAAATGTGCCAGCCCATGCATCTCTGTGAGTTAAGAAATTAGAGGAAAGGTTGAACATCTTCTTAATGGTGGCAGGGATAGAAGAGTGCTCAAACTCTGAGTTTTGAGCTGGTCCTTTGGGGCTACTTACAACTGCAAAACAGACCACATCAATAAGTAGACTGGTAGACAATGTAAACCAACCAGAAATACAGCTGAATTGATCAAGATTATATAATGCATAACCATTACGAGTTCTTTACTCAACCTAGTATTCTCAATCCCATTATGTCGTGGAACATCATTTGAGCTTACCAGCTCCTTTCTTAATCCAGGGTGAGATCATAATAGTGGGCACGCGAACACCTAACCGATCAAACTTGAAAAAATATGGAGCAGGTCCTGTATTCCCATCTGGACTAGGAATACTGACAAAAGGAGTCTTCACATGATCATAAAACCCACCATGTTCATCATATGTAATCACCAGAAGAGTCTCATTCCATTGAGGGCTTGCTCTCAGAGTCTCATACACCTCTTTCACAAGCTTCTGTCCATTTGCAACATCATGAGATGGGTGATCATCATTGGCAGGGAAGCCTATCAAATCGAAGTACCTAGGCTCGATCACTGTCAAGGGAGGAAGGTTCCCATTTCTAGCATCCTTTTTGAACTTCAGATCATACTGATGGAACTTGAATATGTATTTCAATCTCCTTAGATTTCTAAAGAACAGGGTTGTGGGAATGTTCTGGAAATATATCCCAAAGTCTATGTCATTCTCATGGAGAGAGTCGAAAATGGTTTTCTGTGGATACCCTTTTGCTAATTGCTTGGCGATATGGCTTATTGAACCATGAGAAGTAGCAGAGTACACAAAAAGCCTATTTGGCTGAGTAGGGCCCGGAATTGAAGAAAACCACCTATCAAATACAGCGAATTCTCGGACTAGAGCGGCATAAACGGGCAGAGATTCAGGTCTAAAGCCTTTCATGACTGTCTCAGAGAGGTTTTGAGACACAGATAATGCTTGTTCCACAAATCCAGTCATGGAAGGAAAGGAAGCAGAGCCGAATACCTGTTGTTCCACTGCTTCAAACGAATGCGCCGGATCCGGGTCCACGAACTGCGCATCGTCCGTGAAGCAAATTGCTTCTGGTTTCGGACTTTTTGTGGATACCGGATTGCATTCTTCACCCGTAACCCCATTGATCACTGAATTGACGGCTTTCTTCATCCATCCCAGCATGTGATCGAACGAGCGGTTCTCCATAACCAAAACTACAATAGTCTTGATGGGTTGCTGCTGCTGCGAGGTAGCAGACACATAGCGGGTCGATGGAAGCAGACATGGCAGAGTGAGAAGGAGAAAGAGAATGGAGCGAATTGCGTGAAGTAATCTGGGTTTGGTACCTCCCATTGTCCCTCGAAAAGACAGATTTTGAGAACTGGGGTTTTCCGGATTCTGGTTCCAGTTAACGCCAGCGAGCGAGGAAGAAAAGGAACCCGAGGTGAATTCAGACACAGTGCAAAGTTTTCTCGATGGTGCAAGATCTGCACTTCGTTGGTGTGAAATATAGAGAATAAAAAGCAGGGAAGTGGGGAGAAGCTTGTGGTTGTGCAAGTTACTGCGTGTATGGCGGCACTACCATCAATGGTGGCTGCAGATAAGGAGAAGTAGTTAATGATGAAACGAGAACGGAAAGTAACTTTAACGTTTATAGCTCACGTCCTCCATTGTCGAACCCTGCCTTTTTTGGGTTTAATTATACTTACTGTTCTTTGGACCCATATTGATACTTACAGTCAGATGGTAAACTAAAGCTGTAAAAGAATTGAACTCTATCTCACTCTCAACTTGTTTATATTATTTTATTTTTGGGGAACAATGGACTAAGGCACTGAATCTGCGGCTTTATGCTCCCATACATGTATTACTATCAATAAAAACTTGAGGAGGTTAATGGAGTAAAGTTAACAAACTGTCAACGTGGACGAGTCTGGTGGGCCCAATGCATAAGTGGCAACGCATGCATGTGAAGCTTGGAATGGTTTTATTTTTCACGTGAACTTTTGGGTATGATTTGGATTCGTTTACCGTGGGTTTTATGCATTCCTATGGATTTGCGAAAGTAACATCTATATACATTTTTTAACGAGGTCAAATTCTAAAAATACAACAAAGTTAATCAGTGATAGCCTAGAAATTTTAGAATGTAGAGGCAATATGCATTATATACATATACATATAGTGTAATAATACTTGTTATTGTTATGGAGGCAATGTATACATACATATATTTTATAGCGGCGTTAGAACTAATATTATTAAATCTTGAAAATTAAATCATTTATACACATTGTACATATAAAATTGAGCAAAGTGATTTTTTTTTTTTTTTCCTTTTGTGGGAGCACTTGTCCCCTCTATATTGCATGTAGGTACATCTTTGATGTTAATGATAAAGCTTCCATACAAAAAAGTCATGTCTTGACTTGATTTGAATCAACCTGAACTCCCATTAAAATGGTAACACCTGTTATCTGTATCAATATGACAATGTGCGTTTTCCAAATTAGACAACATTTTTATTGGCTTTTTTTTTTTTTTGGATCAGATCATGCGCGGCATATGGATTGAATCTCATTTTAACCCGAATGTTGAATATTTGTAGTGGCTTATAAACTAATTAACACGAATTTTGCTCACCACATTGAAAATGAACATTGGCCAAACAATACTTTCTCACTTAAAAGCCCTAGTTACGTGACATGCTGTCCTGTCGGTGCTCGTTGTCAAAGAAAATCTTACCCACTGAGGCAATCATTTTTTTTCTTTTAATTCAGAAACAAACTGAATTAATTGATAAAGACAACCAATCATGCAAATGTTTTTCTTCAAAAAAAAAAAATGGCCATCGGCCCCTGCCCTTACAGAGAGAAACTTTCAACTGAACAGAGATGGACTAAAGCCCAAATTAGGGTTTAGGCCTGTATGTGAGACTGATCCAATTTCTTCGCCAATGACGTGGCATATACCGGAACTCTATTGTTCTCTACAATGGGGTTTATGTTATTTAATTTTTTTTCCTTTGTTTGGAGTGTAGCTCATGACAGAAGCGTTGCTATGAGAAGGCAGTTTTAACAGCTTCACGATCTCTGATTGCCTTATTCAGAGATGTAATCTTCTGGTGCTGTCCATGAAATCTTGTGTCCTTTTGCAGGTTTGTCCTTCACTGCTGCCAACAGAGATAAGGTGGCAAAATCTCTATTCGAGTTATTTTTTTATTTATGTAGTAATTGAAGAACTTTAGAGGGTGATAAGTTTTAGATCATGATTTTGTCCTCAATTTAGATTTATAGGATCAGAGCATAATTTCTGTTCGGTCTAGATTTTATTGACGGGTCTAATGTAATATAAGGTATGGAAATTGCCAGTTATTTTCTTCCAAGAGTATTGTTCTTTGGTACACTGTTAATGGCGAGAGTACTATGACAGTATCATCTCATATGACAAAAAAAAATGACAGTATCCTGTCATAAAAAATTATCGACAGATTTGATCATTTCACAAGTCAATGAAAAAGCAACAAAAGGTTATAGATAGGCTGCAAAATATAATATAAAATCGTCATCTGCAATTATGCACAGTACCCAAGGCTAAACACAAGCAGACTGAAACCAGTTATATTGCGAGAGCATTCGAACCCTTTGCATAAATTTTGAAAAATAATATTTATTGGAAATAATAAATGTCAAGGAGTTTTGGATTTGGTCCGTGGTATGGACTTTGAAGACTGCTCTTCGCAGTATAATGTAAACCCTTAACCAACACCCATCAATTAGATGGGATAAGAATAAATACTCTTTCTTATTCTATTTATAAGGCATTTTTTATAAGTAATTTTTATTTAAAATATAAAAAATTTTGTAATAATTAAATAACTTTTTTAAATTTTATTCCTTCTTAATTTGTGTAAAGATATTTAATATAATTATATTATTATTTAAAATTAAAGATAAAAATAAAAATACATATCATTTTTTTCATGATATCAATAAATTTTTTTTAATATATACAAAATGTTTGAAAGTGTCTTATAATAAAAATTAAAAGAAATAAGATTTCTTGACTTTGACACTTTGGTTAGTTCACGGGGAGGGGAGGCCATTTGTTTAGGATGTGAAAATAGGGGATGAGGAAGGGAGGGCTATAATTTTATTGCATTGTGACTAATCTGTCTATACTACAATATAATAATTCAAAAATACCCTCCTCAAATTAAATCTATTGACAATGATTTTAAAGTTAGACTGAACCGAATAGGACAATTCAATCGGTTGAACTGCCAACCAATCTTTGTTTCAGCTCGATTTGAATTACAAAATTATTTTAGCTTTTGAATGAGGTTAGGTTGCTCTAAATCGTTGTTAGACCAGGGACCATTAAAAAACCACAAATCGAAGCAATTTTATAAAAACTGAATGGCTCAATTTTATTTTATTTTTTATTTTGTTTGAATTTTAACTTTAAAGAAAATATCTGTCACTTTCATATACCTTGAGAAGGTGAAAACAAATTTGGTTTGTGCATTTTGTTCTAATTTTAACCCTATATCAAAATAATACCCTCATTTTTTTGGGATAGCTTTTTTATAAATCATTTTTATTTTTTTTATATATCTTAATTTGAATAAATATTCAAGTCAAAAAATCTAAATTGGTATAGAGATATCTGTTGTGAACGTTTGTATTAAATCATTTAATATTATGTTATATCATGAGATTTATGAATGAGTAATAAACTTAAAATATTTAACTTTATTTTTAAGTTATGTAACAATTTTACATTTATTTATTACATTTATATTATTATATAGATAATAATTTTTTAATTTAATTATTATATTATCTATCCTATCATAAGTCCAATTAATTGGATCATGAGAATCATAAATCATTAATATTTTTGATTCAATCTCCGCACTTTATTTCATTTCGTGCTAGTGCTCTGACCGTGACCTGCAGTTTGATTCCATTTTTTTCCCCCGAAAACCCAAACTGGTTAGACAATTAAAGATCATGTACAATTTATAAGAGAAGAAATGAGCCATCAGGCCTACACGCATACAAGAGAGTTGGTTTTTTGTCATTTCATGACTGACTTTTTTGAAATTTAATTTTATTCAAATTTAATCAAACATATCCTCATTCTTTTCAAGATCACAAAAATAATTCATTCATAGTTTTCTTTTGGGGGAACAAAAACTCTTGTTATTCAGGTCCACAGACACAAAAGAGAGATGCAATATTTTTTTTTTCATGACTTCCTTTTTTGTAATTTAATTTTATTAATATTTAACCAAACATATTCTCATTCTTTTCAAGATCACAAACATTTTCCATTTATTTCGTTTCTTTCAACCGAACAGGCTTTCAATCAGCTTAAACAAAGCCCAAAGTTTAGCTCAAAGGCCCCCGCATATGAGTTCCCACTTTAAAAAAAAAAAAAAAAAACAAGAAAAGTCCACCTTCATTGACAATGCCTGCACTGTTGCACATAAAATTTTTATTCCAAACTGGTAGATGCTTTAACCATAAGGGCAATTTTTTATATAAAAAAAATAATTCCAATCAACTCAAAAAACTACACGTGATTCTTTGAGAGCCCACAATGGCAGAAAAATAGCCGTACGCTTAATGGATTGTATCCTTGTTTCTAGGACACAATCCCGAGCAATCTTGAAGCTGCACAAGCTTTATTTTCATAAATATACAAACAAAGCATCCAACGATGATGCATCCCAGACGGCGCAATAACCAGCAGCGGAAGCAAAATAATGACAAATATATTTGGATTTTTCACATATAAACACATGCACTCTCTCAAAAATCCAGCACATACAGATTGGCAAGCGCAAGGAGTGCGTCACTCCGTAGATCCCAATCTAACTTCGTTTTGACCACTGCTAGAATACAAATCCAGATTCTGTTACGCTCCTCATTCTCATGAAGCACGCTTCAAGTATGTTAATAAGCCTAAGCCGGCAACGATTGCAGCTCCGGCTGCAACAGCGCTGTATGCTGAAGCCCATGCATCTGAACTTCTAGCGTAATCCAAGCTTCCCGAACCAGAACCCCGCCTACGACCAGCAGTTGTTCCTGAGTAGTCCAAATGCAATCTCAATCCCTGCAAAAATTCATCTATCCAAAGTCAACACTCTATTGAAGCATGCACCAACTATCCTACGTCCAATTCGTTTCTTTCTCTTTTTTTGGAGGGTCAGGGCGGAGCAATCTCTGAATCTTTCTTGGTTTAGTCAAAATCGAACCATCCTTCCGAACAACAATCCATTCAGAACAAGGACAGCAGTCAGAACCAGCATACCTTCATGCCAGTAGACCTTGCATGGTCAACAGCTGCAGCAAGATCGCTATCTGAAGCCAATATAACTTTGTCATGATCTTCATCTTCATACTACAAACAAAAATTTGACCGGCTAACATCAGAGGGGAAAAAACAAATTGGCCCAACCTTACAATAGTAAATACTACATCTTGAAAGGCTGAGAGATACCAGAATTTGGGGTAGGTTGTTCGGATCAATTTCATTACCAACTCTCTGAATGATAGCAGTTATAACCTCTGTCAAATTCCGAGTATCTGAACTTGCAAGCAACCATATAAAGTTAATCAAACAATAATTACTTAAACAATCAACTATAAAAATTACAAGTGCAGGCAGATTAGTCAGTCAGATCCCTCAAAAGAGAAGAGGTAACTTACTACAACAGTACTGTCCTACCGTTAGTGAATTACAAAAGTCAGAACTATAAACATAACAAGAAATACATCTATGAATCAAATTATCAGGGAAATATGATTAAGTCATATTCAAGAAAGAGTGAGACTCATGAAAGAACCACAGGGAACGAATAAACAAAAGGTTGAAGCCACCACCTAAATGCTGTCAAAGATAACAGGAAGATCACATTTGAATCAAAGCTCTAATCTGTAACACAATAATGCATACCACATGTGAATCGATGCATTCGCCCCTTCTTATCTTGTATTTTGAAGGAAAAAGTATTTGTCATGGTTGACGAAAGATAAGGAAGAGACTTTGCAGTATCTCCTCCATCGGAAGCCAATTTCAAGGAACCATCACTGGCACGTTATTAATAATGCGTAAGTACTAACAAGTGCTTTAAAAATTGGAATGTAGCAACATCAATGCATATATAACCTTCTGGTATCGTCGTCGTCATCATTTGGAGTTAATGCCATGGCTGAATCCCAAAATTTTTGCATCAGGGTGCTTGCAGCCTCAGTGTTAAAGCTGCCAGTATTTCCAACCTGCTTAAAAAGCAAAATGAAAAAGCGTCATATCATAATATTACAGAAACATGAACCAAAAAAACAATTTTGGTGACATACTGAGAAACTTGATCACAAAAACAATGACAGGGACAGCCTCGTCTTTTTTTTTTTTTTGGGGGGGGGGGGAGGGGGTTGGGAGTTAATTTTACAGTACATCACAAAAGCTGTGGAGAAAAATAGTTGTCACATGCTATTATAGTAATAAATTAACATTCCCAGAAAAGAAAGTGATAAATTAATGACAGAAAATATTAGAACGAACAAGAGTTTTTTTTTTCCTACTTGTTCACTAAACTAGAGCTTGAACATTTACTTGAAATTTAGGAAAAAGACAACTTCAATAAATAGTAACATTTGCCTGTATTCGAGCTAAGATAAATGGAATATACACACACACTAATTGATTGATTTGTCTGGAAAACAAAAATATGCAACGAAAACATATTAGTACATATATTGACCACAAAACTGAAGGAACAAACATCCAAAATCACCTCAAAATTAATACATATATCCCCTAAAAAAAAAGCTTCATGCTTCTTAAATTTTACTGTAGTTTGGATGGATTAGGAAAAGGGAGCAGCAGAATTTAAAATCTCTAGAGCTCGCTTTAAGCTGTGTAAAAACATGATATAGAAGAGGCAAAAAGGAGACATGCTCAGGCTATGCCCTTGAAAAACTCATACCTGCAAATTAAGAAAAATTTAAAAGGAAAACAAAATTTTAAATTAGTTTATTATCTTGATTAATCTTTTGATACTGCAGAATAGCATCAACCTTCTGCAAGGTTGATGACCTTAATGCAGAATGCAGAGCTTCTTATCAATCATTAATAGCCAGTTAGCCAGATATGCTGGGATATGATCCTCAACTCACAAGTGATATCAAAAGCATAAGTTTAACTTTAGCATAAAGGCCAAAGCAAGGACGTGAATAATCACAATTTCACAGACAAGAAATTTACAAGATGAGATATCTGATATAGATTACTTTAAATCTGCTTTTAGGTTATTTATTTAATAATTATTTTACTGTTCTAGACTCCTAGAAACAAGGGATTTACATTCCCATTATCTTAGAAGACCTTGGACGATGTTATCTTGAAGATTGTAATCTGATTCTTTTGGAAGTTAACAAAATAAAAGCACCAGAGAACATCTAGGTATCTCTGGACTGCTCAATCATCACTGAAATTTCTAGAAAATCAATCAACTCATCTAAATTGAAGCAACTTGTATTCCAAAGAGACTAAAATGATATCACTGGACATCACAGTCTATGATAACACACCTGACTAGCTGTTGCCACAGCAGCATGAGTAACATGAATCACATCAACTACAGAAACTACATTGCCATCTGTTTCAACAAGCCAAATAAGAAATACTCATCTATAAACGTCTTCAACATTTTAGCCAAAGAAAAACCCTCTTTAGAATCACATATATCAGTGTGCTACCTCTATCAACCACAGGAAGATGTAAAAATTTTCCATCATGCATAGTGTGAAGTGCATCAACAATTGGAGTATCAATCGTTGCACATTCTGGATTGGGAGTCATGACCTGCAGAGTATATTGAATTGTCTTAAAAAAAAAAACAGAAAAATGAAACCAATTAACTACAGAATGACCACTCCTTTCTTCAAGTACATGAGAAGAGTGAAGTGGTTGCACATATTATCATAGTAATACATATAGCAAAATCCAATAATGGTCAAACCAGAAATGAAAGGAAGAAATACCTTCTCAACAAGAGTTGATTCTGGATGAAGATTTTGTGAAATTACCCGCATCAAGATATCCTTTGAACTTAAATGCCAAAGCGTTTAAATTAACAAAATGATACATAAATGACCACAAAAGAAAATTATTCTGAAATTACAAGGGTGCCAAAAAAAAAGTCAAAATATAGTCTATCATTAAAAAAGAGGAGGGTGGCAATTTTAAGGGCACAAAAATTACGTTAGAATGCCACGAGATTTTCCATCAACTGTCACAATTGCACAGCTTGCACGAAGTTCAAGCATCTTTTTAGTTGTTGTCAAAACTGATTCTGTTGGTGAAACCGTCACAATTCTGAAAAGTTCATGAGCCTGTTAAAAATAGCCAGTACAGCAGTTGCAGACATGCAAACAAGGTTATTCTTCTAAAATCTAAACAAAGAGAAAGTATTACCTACTTTGAATTCTCAGAAATGATTGTAGACAAAGAGGGCTTGAACATCCGCTCCCGAAGAGTCTCAATGAATGTGTTAGGGCCTACACAATAACCAAAAATTAAACTCAGCTACTAAGAAGTGAGAGCCTAACTACAATTAAGATTTTTCCAATAATGACCCGATCAGAAACCAAAGAGGCAAAGAGTAAAACAGAGAATGTTGAACAAACCAGAAGCAGATGTCCCCCAATGTTTTTCAACACCTTCAACAGCAGCAGCAATGGCATTTCCTTTCTCAGCTGCCCTTTCCATGCGGGCAATAGCATCATGCAAACACTTTGCTATGTCAAGCAAGGCAACAACTTCTCCATTATCCACCACTGGTAAATGTCTGAATTTCCCTGCAAAAAAGATCAGCTTTCAGCTCTGTATTCAAACAGTGAGATTTCAAATAGCAACATTCCAAGCACAATATCAACCTTGTACCATCTTCTGGAGGGCTTCCACAGCAAGAGTATCAGAGAGGACGAATACTGGATTTCTCGTCATAACCTTTGAAACGGGTGTCTCTTCAAGATTAAGCTCATGGGCAATAACTCTTGTTGCTATATCCTTTAACCACAAAGAGGAACTAATATTTGTTAGCCTACAAAACCAGGTGCAAAACCCATATGTTCTATGTAGTTTCTTCAAAGTGAAACAAAGATAAATATGACTCGTACCTTGTCTGTAAGTATTCCACAAAGCAAAGCATTAGAGTCGGTTAATAACAGAGCATCAACTCGGCGGGCAGCCATCCGACGGCAAGCTTCAGACACAGTGGTTGTGTCAGGTACTGTCAAAGCCTTTGATAGTCGTAATGATTTCACTGTACGCTCTCCTGTTAATCTGATAATCAAAGTCCAAACAGAGGAAGGTGTTATGAAGTGATTGGAATTAATAAAATCGAACCAATTAATGAGACAAGGCAATATAAAGTCAAATTTATTATTTTGCTGAGCACTGACATATTGAAAAGTCTGATATTTTCACTGCCAACCTGAATATCTGTTTCTATTCTAATAAGCAAAAAGCTAACTTCGAAAGTCATACGATCAAGATGACAGATAATGTCATATTGCAGACTATGTATATATTTAAGAAAGTTTCCATTTTAAATTTCTCTATAGTTTCAAAAACATTATTCAGATGATAACGACGATAAAAAAAAAATTGATTCTCCGAATCCATATCTCACCAAACGAGAGCTAAGGCAAGGAAGTTAAAGGAAACCAACGATAATAAAGAAAGGAGAGAAGATTGAACAACGAGGACCCTCTCTTCGTGAAACCATAAGCGTAAAATAGAGAACCAAAATTCACTTTCGGGGCAAAAATGGTAGGAAACTCAATAAGATAGCGACTAAAGAACGTACGGGGGGCGCGCAGAGGATAGAGATTTTCGAGAATTAGACTCAGACGCTCCATTCTGAGAGGATTTTTTCCTCCCCTGCACCGACGACAGACTCCTTCGAGAAGAACTGCTTTGACTAGCCATCTGTTCCTGCAAAAAACAAACAAACAAACAACATCAAAATACATAATCAAATTTTATATTAGATGAAGAAAAAGTATTTCAAGGGGGGAAGAAATTTGATTTTCTTCTCCCAAAAGAAGAAAAAAAGACATCCCCGCTGTCGATAGTTATATATCGATCTCGGTGCGCTCCAGTGAATTCAAAGGGCGCGATGCAGCAGAATAAAAATCCGAGACAACCCAAGAGAAAGAAACTCACCTGGAACTATAATCCTAGGCTTCTGTATCGGGGGCAACAAAAAAAAAAGGAAGAACAAAACAACAGACAATACAGCTCAATCCCGGGAGAAGTTAATTCAAAAGATATCGATGAAGATTTTGAGCTGCAAAGTGGGGGAAGCCAAGCAAAAATAGAGAGAATGAGAGAGGTATTGAATTGGGGTGAATCTAGAAATGGGAACAATGGCTCTCGGGAACCTCGACGGCAAAAGATTCCCGGAGAATCACACCGGCCGGGCGGCGAGCGGGAACAAGGAGAAAAGAGAACGAGGGAAAGAAAGAAAGGAGCCCTACAAAACAGGAATTGAGGAGCGAGAAAAATCAATCCGAGTAAACGGGAGCAAATAGCAATAATAGGAGTCCACGTAAGCAGTTCCGAGTGTGAAGAAGAAAAGTAACTCCAAAGTTCAAATTAACAGTTGCACTTGGTTATTAATTAAATTAACAATAACAATCTGTCACCAGATCGTCACAATGCAATAAGTTTCCGAAGCCTCACATATGGCAGGGTTTTTTTTTTTTTTTTTCTTTTGGTGATCTTTTTATATTATAGCTAACTCAATGTTTAAGAGAAATATGGTAATTCAACAATACTTTTTTTCTCATTGGATAAAAGCACGTAAATTTTTTTATATATTACTTGTTTCATAATAAATTTTTATTATTAATTATTAATATTATTAATATGTTAAAATTTACTTATCTTAATTTGATTGAATAAAAATATATAAAATATATGGAGTGAATTAGATAAGCTTTGCATACAATTTTAAGCTTTTCGAGCAACTTAAACTACTCTTCGATAAATGGAAATATGAAAGAGAAGGGAATAAATTTAACATGTTATCAAAGTTTATGGCCAAACGACATTTTAAACCGTATTTGAAATATGAATGAATTTTATAAATTTTTTAATTATATAATTTTAATAAAATTGGAGTTGTCTGTGAATGTGTAATCAGGAGAATCTGGTTTTGGGTCTGGGAGTGAGCGTGATAGTCTATCCAAAATTCGCACAAGAGATGGATGGCTGACATTTGCAGTGATCCAAGAGCCGCATGAAGGGATACCCCCATCTCAAAACTTGGACTACACTCGTTTGTTTTCAGGGAAGAATTTCAATAAAAACTCTTAATCATGCTTATTTAAATTTAAAGTATTTAAATTTTTAAAATTATGCTGTAGTTCAGAGATAATGATTTAATATTAAATTTTTAAAAAAATGATAAAATTACATTTAATTCAAATTAATATCAAAATTTTCTTACTTCTCTTGTCCATTATTCTACTTTATTTGTTAATTTACTTATGAAGTGTCATTAATTACCTTATTTAACTTATTTTTATTTTAGAGATTTAAATTATCTTAAGATAATTTATTGATTTATATACTGTATGTTGTTTATTTACTTACGAACTGTTGTTTATTGACCTACTTCACTAATTCACTGCTAGACCTTCACTTAATTTCATTCTAAAAAAAATAAACAAGTGGAGTAGCACAGTTGATAATATTTTGTAATTAAATTAACAAATAAAATATGGTAATTAATGAGTGAAGTATAACAGTTTTGATATTAATTTAAATGAAAGATAATTTTGTTATTTTTTTCAAAAATTTAATATCAAATGAATATCCTTAAACTACAATAAAATTTCAAAAATTCAGGGACTTTAAGTTTAAACAAGTGTAATCAAAGGATCATTATTGAAATTCTTCCTATTTTATAGATATTCATAACTTGGAAACTTTGTTCCCCTATGCAAGGCTACAACAATTGGGTGGTTTTGTAAGAAAGCAGAGAATTTTTAAATTGGCTTGAAAAGTTACACATTGCAAGGCTGATACGCTAAATTTTTGGGTTTAAATATTTTTAATTTATGTACATACGAATGCTTAAATATCTTTAAGAAAATCATAATTTCACTTTATTTTAAATTTTGTTTTCAGATTATACTTATAATCAATCTTATTAATCAAATTATCACATAACATAATCAATTATATTCATAATTAATTAGTTTATGCAATCTTTGTAGGACAGGAGGGAGGTAAGAGGAGGGATTTGGATTGGCGTGGAGTTTATAGAGAGAGGGGAATAGAATGTTGTTTGAAGCTGGTTGTGTGGAAAGGGGGATTTTTGCTATAAGATGAAGGAGGCTACTGATACAGTATGCGGTATGCTTGAGGTTAGCAAAAGTTAATGAGGTTGTGAGATGGAAACTGCCAAAGTTGGGCTGGGTTAAGCTCACCATGGATGGCGTGAGCAAGGGAAAATCTTGTGTTGGCAAGGTGTGGAGTAATAAGGGATGAGGAGGGTAATTGGGCACTGGGATTCCCCAAGTATATTGGCCACTGCAATGCTATGAATGTTGACCTCTGGGACTTACCGATTGGTCTTGAGCAGTGTTGGGAGGCAGAGACTGGGAAAGGAGAAGTGGAACTGGATTCATTAGATTTGGTACAGCAGGTTCAAAATCCAGAATTTGATGGTAGGGATAAGTATGCTTTTGCAAATGGTTTATAGCTTAGGTGAGGAGGGATTGGCAAGTTCAGGTGGGTCATGTGGCTCTTTAAGTGAATAAATGTGCTAATTTTTTGGCTAATTTAAACATTCATTTCATCTCAAATTATAGGATAATATGAGATAAACTTATTCATATCAATAAAGCACGATATTAACACTTTTTTAACTTGCTTTATCAAAATAGAACTATAAAATTTTAAAAATATCTTCACATAATTAATCATTATGCTACAATATTATTTTAATTATCTCTCCATTTAAAAGGTAATATTAACAAAATATTATTAATAAAATTTTATTGTTTTAAATTATCTTATATTTTAAGATAAAATTATCTTACAATTCCATGTGTGGCATGACATGGTTGAAGCGGGTGGGACTTTCCCACTCACCAGATAAGTGTGGTCTTTTGGGTGTTTCTTTGTTTCTGCTGCTTTTAGCTTGCTTGTTTAGCTAGTTTTCTATTTTGGGCTTTGATTCATCTTGTACCCAAAAAATGAGTTCAGAAGAAAAGCCTCTTATGGGGAATCAAAACTATTGCTTTGGTATTTTAAGAGTTACGAAGTTATGTTTGATATGAATAAATAGATTGGTGATATGAGAATCCTTTTAATGGTGTTGGAACATGTGAAAAAAATGCATTTATGTTGATGAATATGTGACAATGATTAAAAAATAACTAACTAATAATCAAAAATCCTGTAAATGTTCTCTATCATGTTTTCATAGAATTATTGAATAATTTATTGTTATTTAAGAATCAAATGAGATTGAAGTGGATTTAAGTTCTCTCAAGTCGGGGATGATGAATTTCTGTGAAGTTGTTTTTTTTAATATTTTCTCTCATTTAATCATTTTTTATAAATTAAAATATAAAATATTCTCTCCCTTTTTAAAAAAAGTAAAACTTTACAAAAATTCACCAATACCAATTATAAAGAATTTAAATCCGATTGAAATTTAAAATATTAAGATGAGAAAGTGGAAAATGTGAAACTTTTACCGTACTTTGGCCGAAAAAAGAAAACTTTTACCCAAAATACATAAATATATATATATATATTTTTTTTTTTACAAGCGAGGGGCCATGGGGCTCCCGCGCTGCTTATGACTCCACCAAATGTGAAGGAAATATATATTTCTTTCAAATTTGGTACAAGCCCAAGCAAATATAATTTAGATGTTGTCTCTATACTTCTGCCTCCCTCAGCTGCAGATAAAGTTCTATACTGTTTTAATGGCTGCACTGGGCCATTTCTTGCATTGAACTTCTAATTAATGAGGGATTCGTGGGACATTGTCTAACAGTAGTTCAAGTAATATATTATCATGAAAAAATTAAAATCGTACCCTGCCACTAACGTGAGTTTGACCAGAGATCTCGTAACATGAGCCATAATTATTCATTTTCAGGGGTGAGCAATACTTGTTAGGGCCAGTTATCTGAGCCATGACAGGGATGGTTACTCGCTCACTTGTCATCATTCAGTTTCAGTCTGTTTAAAGCCCGGGGGTTCGTATAATTTTATTTTGAAGTCTAGTTGCTGTGAGGCCCAAGCCACTGAATCTGAGTTTCTCGATCTTTCATTTGGTTTTACTGTTGTTGGTTGAGTTTCCTTGGGAACTTGTTTGAACTTGTACGGAAAGTAGCGTGGTAAGTGTTTACTCTTCAGGGAGTTTCCAACAGAGATCAGAACAATTCCTGGTAATTACATTGAAGAAATTCATTAGATATTCCAGAGTATGTTTTGGAAGTTGAGGAGTTGAACAAGTGCTTGGAGTTTTGCTTGTAAATAGAGACAAGATATTGCTTGCAAGAAATAAGAATCCCAAACACACACACACAGCAAGCTAAGCTTTTGTTCCTTTCTCTGGATTGCTTTCTGAAAATTGTTCCCCTCTTTCAAGAATCAGATTTCAAGTAATCAATCGGGAGAAGCGTCTTACATACTCCTTGGAGCACTGCATTGAACTTTTACTTGTTCACAAAATGATTTGAACCAGAGTGTGCTTTTAATCTCTTTAGGATCTTAAACAATCAACTATCCAGCTGTCACTTTCCAAGTCCCTTGCCTTCTCATCACTCAAAATGAAATTCAATTTATCAGCTAAGTTGTGAAGATCATGGCATGAAAAGTGATAAGTTTAACCAAAAACGGGGGGAAATAGAAGCATCTAAATCAGTATAGAAGGATTGGAGGAGAGGCGTTTGGTGGGCATCAAATAAAGAACAAGTTGCACGAAACGGTGCCCAAAGTCAATTTTCTAATGCAATCAATATTGAAAGGGAAAATTCCATTTAAGGCCCCTAACCATACTTACTATGAAAGAAGGCCTTCTAAATTCTAAAAATTCACTTCAAACCAAGGGTATTGAAGTGAAATTAAAATACAGAGTAAAATTAATTCATTGTCCCTTATCCTCTCTAATTTTCAATTGAAATTGTTCATTTTCTTATATAAAGTTGTTCATTAATTTCAAAGAGTTATTTGTACCATTATTGAATATTAATTTTATTTTAAGTATCGTAATTATGATAAAATGAGTTATTCATTGTTAAAATGTAAAAGTTATCCATTTCCCTACCGCAATTTGAATAAAGAGAAAATGATAATAAAATTTTATCGAAATATATAAATGACAATCAAGTTCCTTAAAATGTTATAATTCTTCAAAAGTCTTTAATTACCTTTCTAACTGTTAAATGACTAAATAACTCCTTGTTTAACATAAAAAAATAACATGTTTATATAGAAAGTTGTAATTTCTTATTTAAAGTCTTATAATTTATAGAATAAAGTTGTAATTGCTTAAATAAAAGTTATAACTAAATTTTTTAGAACTTAAATTTTAATGATAATAGAAATTTCACATGAAAAATTATGATTTTTTGTTTAATTCTTGCAATTTAAATAATAAAAGTTATAATCTCTCAACCAAAAATTGTTATTTGTTTTTTTTTTTAAGAATTTGGGCTTCAATGATCAAAGAAGTTTCATGTGAAAAGTTATGATCTCTTGTTGCATTTTTATGATTCACATAATTAAAGTTGTGATTAGAACTAGTTGTTTTCAAAAGTTGTTTGTCAATCATAAGAGAAATTTCATATTGAAAGTTGTAATTTCTTATTCAATTTTTATGATTCATAGAACAAAAGTTATGATTACTTAAACAAAAGTTGTGATTGAGAAAATGAAGCCATACTTATTATTTTTACTTAAAACAATGGATAATTCAGTCATTTAGCCTAAAATCATTAATATCATAAATGTATTTAGAGAATTATAGTTTTTTGAGGGATATGATTCTCATTTATATATTTCGCTAGGATTTTATTAACATTTTTTTCTAAATAAAAACAAGTGAAGTAATATGCACTAACAACTTCTATAAGAAAATTAATTATTTCAATATGAAAAATGAACAACTTTAATATAAGAAATTTGTAATTATTTTTGCCTTGATAACAATACTAAGAATATATAAAACTTTATAATTGTTCATTGCTCATGTTGAAGTAGTTATTTTTTTCTATAGGAATTATTTGTGATTATTAGTTATTGTTTTGATGCCAGCATCATCTTCACTCTTAGAGTTCAAGATATCACCTGCTTGATTGATTTCTTTCTCATTTAGTGGTATGGACTACTTTGAGCTTATTGTTCAAGAACATTTTGAATAATTAGTCCTCCTCAATGAACCATGCTAGAGGAAATTGATCTAATTGAATTGAGGATATGCTTCAGAGTTAAACTAAAACATTGCATATCTATTCAAAGCCAAGAAAAGACAATTCTTGGTAAATGAGAACTCATCCTTGAACTAAGAAGTTCCAAGATGTGCAATTATCGACAATTGAGAGTGGAAATGTTGGACAACTAGCAAAAGGAAGTGAAAACAATGAAGTCTCAAGCAATGAAAATGGGATTATTCTTGTTAGGATTTTGGAGATGATAGTAGAGAGCAGAAGGCTCATTCTTTCTACTTGAAACTGCAAACAAAAGGCTAGAATTAGGGAAAACTTTATCAAAAAGGAGGAAGAAAAGGGAATAGATAGTGGGTTAGCAATAAGTCAATGAATGAATGTCTAAGCTTTAATTGATAAGCTGGTCAGAAAACTAGAGAAAAAAGAAAGTGGATTGGTGAGATAGGAGCCAATAAGGGAAATAACAAGAAAAAATGACTTGTCAAATTTTTTAAAAGCGAATATACAGATAAACAACTAAAGATAATAAGAAAATTTTTCTCAACATTTTAATTTTATTTCATGGCTTTTGGTTTAAAGTAAAGTTTTAAGATTAAGGGACCTTCTTTTTGATTAAGTATGATCAAGGGTTGTAAATGAAAGTTTTCCATATTAAAATTAATAGTCTATACTTAGGGGGCAAGGCATTCTTTAGTTGCCGGTCAAAAGAAGGCATTCTTTAGTCTCATTGTAGACCCCACAATTTGGTGGGTCGGTACCGACGGGCCCAAGCCCATGTCAAGAGGCTTCCCACCACCCCCAAAGTCATTCATTTGTATGTTATTAACTTTAAATACTGGTCTAATAAAATAAGTTAGGAAAATATAAACGCTAAATTTTGAGCTTGAATTTGAGCTATTTTAAATACGGAAAATATTTTTAAAAAAATTATTTTTAATTGAACCAATAGTACTTGAAACTGATTCTATCAAATAGTTATATAAAAAAAAAAATCAATTGTGTGGCTAACACAACCTAATATTGGTCGCCGGGTAGGTTTGATACCTAAAATTTTTAGGATAAGATAAAAAAGATGGAAAATGTGGTGGAGAATATCATAATATTCCCCTTTAGATTTAAAAAAAAAAACAAGAGGGATATCTTTAAATTAAATAATAGTAGTAATACGGATAGCATATTAAATGAAAAAAACTATATCATTTTGTACGAAGTTCTTCTCGGTCTGCTTAATTATTTATTCTAATAAGCATACGGTGGGAAATAATGTTGGTGACCTTGCAACATATTGAGAAGTCTCGTGTGACTCCACAAATGTGAATACTGGCACGTCACTGGCCCTGATTCGAGTGGGTATAGTTTAGATGCCACTTTCTCTGTATTTTTTTATGCAATAAGAGTTTAGGTGAGTTAATTTCGCAGTCTTATGTATCAGGGTTAGAATATACCACCAGATTTAAAAAATACTTATAAAAATATTTATAAATCATCCTTATATCAATATTAAGATTTAAAATCAGGATCTTATAAATTATTGATCAAATCTCGATTATTTGGATATTCTCTGTACCTCTCTTTCCCTTATTGCTGACAAAGTTTATAGTACTTCAGTGGCAGCTCTGGACCATTTCATGACATTACACTTTTTTTAAAAAAAATAAACTCATGCATTAAACATTTACATAATGAGGAATTAGGAGGTGGTGCAAAAGCAGTTCAAGTGGTATAGTATTATAAATATGATGAAAAAGGATTTGCCACCATAAATAACTTCGAAGTTGTTGGGGAAAATGTGAGTCTGACCGAGAAGATCAGAAGTAATATAATGTAGTTATTTCGTTGTCTTTGGTGAAGTAGAGTTGAGCAATAATTGTTAATCTCATTATCTGGATTAGAGAGAGAAAAATTGAAAAATTGGGGAGGAAGGAAAAGGAGACGTGAGCTTGGGAATAGTGATGATGAGGAATATGTGGAATAATGAAAGAAAATATAGACTTAGACGTCTCAACCATTGTAACCTTCTGCAGACAGATTTTCTTCTATAAATTGCCACTGCTTTCTTCTCTGGGACAGTGAGCCTACTTGAAGCTAAGCTCCATTATTCTTCGTCTTGCGTGGAGGGAGAGAGAGAGAGGGCAAACCAAGAAGCTAAGCAAGGCTGAATTCTGCTGTAGAGGTAGTGATCTGATTCTGTCTCAGTGTTAAGAGTAATGAATGATTTGTTGGAATGGGGGAGAAGATTGGGATGTTGGGACGGCTCAATCAAATCAAATCTCCCTAAGGGTTGGGTCCTTTAATTTGATTGAGCCGTGCCAATATCGCAGCCTAGCTTTTGATCACCCTCTTTTTTCGACAAATATTTTTATTAATTGCACAAATATTGCCACTTTTTTTTTTTTTATTTGCATCAAGAGTGTGAACCTTTAGCACTATTTGCATCGTAACACGTCCTTACTGAGACAGTCTTGAGTATTAATTTGCAATTTCAATTTTTTTTTTCATTGAATATAAATCAAATGATAATGAAATTCTCAGTCCATTTACTTAACTTATTAATTTCGTCCCTTTAATTTATTTTTTTATTAATTTAGTTCTTTAGATTTTTATTGTAGCTATCCAATCAAGTCTTTATTATTTCAAGACGAGGTAATATCGTTAAAATTTGCTAATATAAATAACTAAATATTGAATTGACAACATGTATATCAGTCAAATGTAATTATCTATGTAAAAAATGATATGGAATTTATTTTTTTAAAAAAGAACAAAATATAGCGTAAGAGATTATTTTGATGTAAATTAAACAAATTTTAGAGTTAATTTATTCTCATTTATCATCATATATATATTTATCAAGTTATTAATATATTTTATGCATTATATTAATTTGAGGTTAACTTGTATTTTAAAACATGATGATTTAAGAAAAGATAAGGGATTAATTAATAAAAATTAAAATGTTAATTAAGACAAATTTGAGAGCCTAATTTTTTTTTATTATAATAAGGGAAAAGCCTTTATCGCAGGCACTCGTCTGAATTTAATAATCAATATTTGTTTGTGTGGTAAAAACTATAGTGTTGCCTTACATATACTGGAAAATCATTGTTTTCTATATAACAGTAACAATAATAATATTTATTTTTCTACCATTGTGCATTCAGTTTTCCCCCTTTTGGCATTGCGTGCACCCTGCCTTTTGTATTCAACTATTCATACATTTGCACTGGTCGAAGCCTCTTTACTCGTTAGCATGTGATTGGAAGAAATCCTATCTGTGTTCACGTGCACTTTTTCACTGCCAACTATCGGTTCCTAAGTTATGAGGAAGCAATAAAAATTGAAATTTTGAGCGATTTAATGTCGTAAATTTTTTTTATTAAATTAAATTCTTGTCTGACAAAAATATAACCATAATTGCCATTGCCAATACATAAAAAAGGTGTAATAAAACAATCTATTCGTAATACAAATCATTCCTCAAACTTTATGAAATAGACACTAAAATGAGTTTAACTCATAGGTTATTCGTTTATATAATCCCTTTCCCCTTCCAATTGACTGTCATTTTCGTCACACACACACACACACACACACACACACACACATTCTAGTTGTGCAAACGCCATGGTTAGAGATTATGTAATTTGGTTAATTTTCAAGGTAATATCTATATCTATTTGAAAAATAAATAATGGAACATTGTCTTGTATTTTCTTGCAAATAAATGGCACAAATAGAGTAATTAAGCCTAAGAATATGGCAGTACAAGATTAAAAGATTGCAATTGCGAGCTGATAACTTGTATCACGGAGTGGTGTTGTGTGTGAGTTGTGTGTGTGGAGGTGGAAGATAGGACATGGCCAAATACACAGCACTAGAGGCATGAACAGAGCAATGAGGAGGGGCTTGCTCTTGCCATTCTTGGTCTCTCCCAAGGCTTGAGGAAGAAGAAGAAGAAGAAGAAATGCGACCAATCTCTCCTTTGCAGAATATTCCGGCGAACGGAACGCGTGGGAAGTTGCCACAAAATGGGTAGATGTCAACATGAGGTCTTCCAAAGTAAGATTGACCTCGAGACGCACAAACAAATACTAACCCTCCAAACACTGCTTCTTCTTCACTCTCCATTAAGCTCTGCTTCATCCTCCTCAGATTATCAAACACATCCTCACTCGTGGCCCTCGCAGTTTCCAGGTCTCTGTGGTAGAACAGAAATTTGTCCCCAGGTCTCACCCCTACTCCGTCCACCACAAAGTACTCCCCCTCTCCCCTGTTTCATTCCACATCACACACACACGTTAGCAACGGAATTGAAAGATTACTAAAAAGACTCAGGTCTATGATCTCACCCAAGAACTTGATGGAAGGAGGTGCATGCTGCTATTCTGTCTGGGTTCATCAGTCTTCCATTGCTGGTGTAATATCTTCTTCGATGTGACACTCCTATGTACAAATCAGGACGCCTATCACTCACCTGCATCACGTAATGGATCAGTAAATGCACTGCTAAGAGTGTTTGAATATTTATAGATAGATAGATACCGTTTCAAGGAGAGTTTCTATGACGGCCTCGAAATTCAAGATCATATCGAATCCTTCCACGAGAGCGGAGAGGCAGGTCCATCTTACATCACCTTTCACTATGACGTCGATCACCTCAAACCTCGGCCCAAACGGGACTAAACCTCCTGCCATGGCTACATGAAACCTAGTGTCTCCTACGTCTGTTCAATTTCCGAATGAAGCATATACATAAAACTGGGCTGGTAAAAAGCTACGGTGAAATTGAAATCAGGAGTGTTGATTACCAGGAGACTTGTGTTTGTCTCTGGCGAAGACGAGGGCAACAGCATCGAGCACGTATAAATCAGGAGGAAGACTGATTGTGTAATTCCCACTGGTGAACAGAAAGCAGCCTCCACTATCCCCGACCATCACTGTTTCCTTTCCCATTGCATGATCTGTAACGTGACATTATAGTACTTGTTAAAAAAAACAATGTTATGTCGTAAATCATATTACCAGATTCCCCCAAACATGCAGGTGATGATGACTCACCCATTGTTGCCACAATGTCGTTCATGTCACTCCTACGGTCCTAAGTGACGGGAAAAGTAGTGTTAGTAACTCCAAAAACTGCAAATCATGGTAATTGTTTTTTTCAGGAAAAAAAAAATCTCACTCCAAATATTATGACAGCAGCAGGTGAACGATGTCCAGAAACAGAGCATGTGTAGGTCTTAATACTTCTCACGAATTCATCAACCATGTTGATTACAGGATTCTGATCATATCACATAAATGTTCTGTTCACCGTCGAATTTATTGATGAAAATTTCATGAGAGCTGGTAAACAAATGATGAATCTAGCTTACATTCCTCAAACTTTATGAAATAGACACTAAAATGAGTTTAACTCATAGGTTATTCGTTTATATAATCCCTTTCCCCTTCCAATTGACTGTCATTTTCGTCACACACACACACACACACACACACACACACACATTCTAGTTGTGCAAACGCCATGGTTAGAGATTATGTAATTTGGTTAATTTTCAAGGTAATATCTATATCTATTTGAAAAATAAATAATGGAACATTGTCTTGTATTTTCTTGCAAATAAATGGCACAAATAGAGTAATTAAGCCTAAGAATATGGCAGTACAAGATTAAAAGATTGCAATTGCGAGCTGATAACTTGTATCACGGAGTGGTGTTGTGTGTGAGTTGTGTGTGTGGAGGTGGAAGATAGGACATGGCCAAATACACAGCACTAGAGGCATGAACAGAGCAATGAGGAGGGGCTTGCTCTTGCCATTCTTGGTCTCTCCCAAGGCTTGAGGAAGAAGAAGAAGAAGAAGAAATGCGACCAATCTCTCCTTTGCAGAATATTCCGGCGAACGGAACGCGTGGGAAGTTGCCACAAAATGGGTAGATGTCAACATGAGGTCTTCCAAAGTAAGATTGACCTCGAGACGCACAAACAAATACTAACCCTCCAAACACTGCTTCTTCTTCACTCTCCATTAAGCTCTGCTTCATCCTCCTCAGATTATCAAACACATCCTCACTCGTGGCCCTCGCAGTTTCCAGGTCTCTGTGGTAGAACAGAAATTTGTCCCCAGGTCTCACCCCTACTCCGTCCACCACAAAGTACTCCCCCTCTCCCCTGTTTCATTCCACATCACACACACACGTTAGCAACGGAATTGAAAGATTACTAAAAAGACTCAGGTCTATGATCTCACCCAAGAACTTGATGGAAGGAGGTGCATGCTGCTATTCTGTCTGGGTTCATCAGTCTTCCATTGCTGGTGTAATATCTTCTTCGATGTGACACTCCTATGTACAAATCAGGACGCCTATCACTCACCTGCATCACGTAATGGATCAGTAAATGCACTGCTAAGAGTGTTTGAATATTTATAGATAGATAGATACCGTTTCAAGGAGAGTTTCTATGACGGCCTCGAAATTCAAGATCATATCGAATCCTTCCACGAGAGCGGAGAGGCAGGTCCATCTTACATCACCTTTCACTATGACGTCGATCACCTCAAACCTCGGCCCAAACGGGACTAAACCTCCTGCCATGGCTACATGAAACCTAGTCTCTCCTACGTCTGTTCAATTTCCGAATGAAGCATATACATAAAACTGGGCTGGTAAAAAGCTACGGTGAAATTGAAATCAGGAGTGTTGATTACCAGGAGACTTGTGTTTGTCTCTGGCGAAGACGAGGGCAACAGCATCGAGCACGTATAAATCAGGAGGAAGACTGATTGTGTAATTCCCACTGGTGAACAGAAAGCAGCCTCCACTATCCCCGACCATCACTGTTTCCTTTCCCATTGCATGATCTGTAACGTGACATTATAGTACTTGTTAAAAAAAACAATGTTATGTCGTAAATCATATTACCAGATTCCCCCAAACATGCAGGTGATGATGACTCACCCATTGTTGCCACAATGTCGTTCATGTCACTCCTACGGTCCTAAGTGACGGGAAAAGTAGTGTTAGTAACTCCAAAAACTGCAAATCATGGTAATTGTTTTTTTCAGGAAAAAAAAAATCTCACTCCAAATATTATGACAGCAGCAGGTGAACGATGTCCAGAAACAGAGCATGTGTAGGTCTTAATACTTCTCACGAATTCATCAACCATGTTGATTACAGGATTCTGATCATATCACATAAATGTTCTGTTCACCGTCGAATTTATTGATGAAAATTTCATGAGAGCTGGTAAACAAATGATGAATCTAGCTTACATTCTTTGGGTGGATCAATGGTATTGCATCCACTTTGAGGCCAGGAACATATCCAACAACCAAAACAATCCCTCGGTTAAAGTCGCTAAATCCATTAGCCTCGCGAGGATGAGGGCCTTGGTAATCAAAGTAATCCCATTTCACCTGCAGTTTCTCAAAAATATACTGATCTGAATCACGTGTCTGCAGAACAGGAAGCTGAATAAAAGAAGACGATACACGGCATAGAAAAACGAATCACTTCTCGTAGTTGATTTGTGAGAGCTTCCATGCCCATCACTCCACTCCCAATATGAGTGACTAGAGGAGTCTTGGTTCCTAGCCTTTGACTCAGCTGCAATCCCGCAAAGCCAAATCATGATAAACAGCACATATAAATCATGAAGAAAGCAAGACAGAGATTATATATATACAAGAAGGTGAGCCCCTCTCAAGCCGAATTGTTCACTGATGCAAGCTATGGCAAAGTGTGGACGAATGGGTTTGCTCAGAACCTTCTCGATAACCTCTTCAACTGCACCCTGCATGTCATCAAAATCAAAATCAAGAATGAAGGGTCGTAATTGTAATAAATGAACAGAAGGGTACGTATGAGAAGCAGAAGAACTTACGAGAAGAGAAGGATTGAGTGAAAGAGCTGAGGCTAGCATGGGACGTGAGAGGATTTGAGAGCAGATTCTATACCAAGTTTTGCTGACACAAGCGGCATTTGCAAAGGTCGAGGCAGGTAATCTGCCCAGAATGTTGTGAAGAATGTCGTCTTTACAGCCATTGATCGGGGCTGTTGTTCCTCTGCTCTCCATGTCTGGTGTTCCTCTGATACGGCTGACGAGAGAGGAGGAAGATGAGTTTATATAAATAGCATTTTTTGAGGGTAACGGTCTCGCGGGCAGTGACGTCGCGTCACTGTTCAAAGGGGATATTTAAATCTTATCATTATGACTTGAGATTCCTAACGCTTCCTAACTTTAATTAGCTGTAAATGAGATTTAAGAAACTCCTGCATTTCAGATTTCCCTTGGGATTCTCCATTTAATGTTTTGGATGTTTTGTTCCTTTCCTCAGGCGTATTTTAAAATCACACCTCTCGTCATTTTTTGGGTTGGTCAAATGCATTTAATTGCACTACATCTCGGGTTCTTCATTTTGGTCTGGAAATTTAGACGTTTTTCCCAAAAAAAAAAAATTTTGAAGTTAATTTTTTTATATGATTATTTTGATTGTGTCATATTTTAAATTTTTTAGTTTAATTGAAAATTTTTTTAAAAAATATTGTTTTTCATTTACATGAACTCAATCCGAAATCTCGTATTTAAAGAGTCATGGCCCATTCTATTATCATTAACACCAGTTGATAATATGAAGTCAATTCTTTAGTACACGGTCAAGCAGAAAATTTGAGGGATCCATGATGATTATCCACTCTTCAACACGCACGCATAGCATTAAGCTACTTTTATAAGAATTGAGTATTGTAAAATCATAAACGTAAATAGAATCAACTAATTATATTTGAATCGTGTTAATCATTCATTCAATTTAGATACAGAATCAAGTAATGAGTAATGACTATGGATATCATTCACATGAGTTTGTCTACTTATTTTTATTATAATGTAATAATAGTAATGAATAATTTTTGTCTCATGAACATACATCATGAATTAAGATTGAGGTATAGGTTCCATGAATTAGCTTGACAATCAATTTATTTGACTCTCAAATCTAGTCCGAGACAAATACAGTTCAAAGCCAGCCAATTTATTCAAAATTCAATATAACAACTAAAAATGGTCAATTTAACATTAATTAAATCAATGAATAGCCCAAAATTACTTTTTATTTTTTAAATACTCCTTCTATTAAAAATGTTAGGCATTTATTCTAAGTTTAGATATTAAAAAATAAAAGATATATCTAGTTGTTCAATAAATAATTAATATTTTTTCAAAAATACAATTAATGAATAAACTCCTCAATCCATCACAATTGAGTGAGATGCCTTATTAAATAAGGGCAACTATTAAAAAATAGCATTCTCACCATTTTTATCTATTGGAAAAACTATTATTTTTAGTTTATTTTTTATATAAGCAAAATTATATTTTTTAATAGGCATTTATTGCAAATTTTCTAAATTACCTCTCATAATTTTATCATTCATAATCATAAAAATAATTAATGAAAGCTTGATTAACACGATTAATATGGGGCATTGTAGTCTAATTCTTTTATTTTCAGAAATAATTAATATAGTTAACTAATTTTCTTAAAACTTGTGATATATTTTTCTCCTATAAATAGAAATGGAGGGAATATCACTTTAAAGATAATTAATTAATTTATTGATGAGTGTAATTATGTTAAACATATCTAATATTTTTCTAAGAAGGGAGTATCTAATACTAACAATCAATTCAAATTCAAGTGTTATAAAGGTTCAAACTGAAATATAAGCGTAATATAATTCTTCCATAATTAATTTATAGATACATAATTTTTTTTCATACATAATGTTTGACTACAAAACCTTTCCTATATTGAATCTATTCCATTCAATCCAATTATAATTTATAGATACATCAAGAAGTTAATTAATTAATGTGCTAATTTAATTCGTTATTTGTAGAGTCATAATAAGTTTTTTTTTCTGACATATTGTTTTGAATAATTAAGCCTTCAACTAATCAGCTGTGAGGTCAAAAAACTAATAGGCAGAAATTTTTACTGTCTCAAATTCGATATTAATTTTTCCTTTCTTCTTGTATCCCCCCTTCCACGGTGGCAACCGAAGCATCCTTGTTCATTTTGAATAATAACAATAAAAAAAATGAAGTGAACCAATGAAACTCTACTTTTAGTTACATCAATCGATGTTATATATATGAGTCATTTGCAATTATTTTATGGAAATGAGGGAAAGTAGTTTAATTATTAATTTTATCTAAAAAAATACCCTAAATTCATTTTTGATTCAATATTTTTTTTAAATTTTTGAAAACGGTCTAATCTAGCTTCTATTATTAACAAAAATTAACTTTAACCGTTAGTTTATCAGAAAATAATAAACAAAAATTTTAAAAATTACAAAAAAAAACTAAAAAATTTTTGATCATTTTTTGTAATTTTTATGTCCTTATCTGTAACTTTTAAATTATTTAGTGTAATTTTTTGATCATTTTATGTAATTTTTAAGGTCATTTTTTATTACTTTCTTGTCAGCTAACAGTTAAAATTAACTTTTATTAATAATAAGAGTTAGATTGCATCGTTTTAAAAAATTAAAAGGAAATTGTGTACCAAAATTTAGTTTAAAATTTTAAATATTCTTAAATATATAGTTTAATACAGGTCAATTTACTTTTTCACCTAACTTTTTACACTACTCATAAAATTGGAATAAAATAATTAATTATTTATCATTTTATGCAGTTACTTATAATTATAAAAAAGACTACCAATTTGAAGTTACTTATACAAAGAACCGAAGAGGACAGTACTCTAAATATTTAGAGCAGAGGTGCTCCCCCCCCCCCCTTCGAAGTCAATCAGAATACAAATGTAAAAAAAAAAAAAGGTATTCTGCAATAAATGCTAAAAAACAACAAAAAATGAGAGACTCCATCGAACAAAATACTCGATTTAATTTTTTTAAATATATTTGTACTAACCAAAAATATAAAGTACTAAATCAAAATAGACAATGCTGCAAAATTCATTTAAATTAAATCTTACACTGTTATCGGTTTGATTTTAAATAATAACAAAAAAATATTTCAGTGAAGTGAACCGATGAAACTCTACTTTTAGTTACATCAATCAATCTTATATGAGTCATTTGCAATTATTTTATGGAAATCAGAGGAACTCATTTAAATTAAATCTTACGCCGTTATCAGTCTGATTTTAAATAATAACAAAAAAAATATTTCAGTGAAGTGATAAGTGATGCAAAAACAAAAAAATTGAATTACAACATAAATTTTTTAAAAGACAATCAATATACAACATTGAGTACTAAACTCACAACACCTAAAACTGCATTTAAGTAACTATTTTGCTTAGGACAAATCAGATCATCACACTTTTTTATATTTTTGACATACGATACACGGACGCAGATATAACCACGGAATCTATATGCTTCCAATTTTGGTTTGTTCATTAATTCTCCTCTTCATTCAAACGAAAAAGCAACAATCAAATAGTCCGTGAAGTTCTACAGAATTTTGGAGATACAAGATGAATTAATAATCCTCGCGATTCTATTATTCCCAATGAAAAGAAACGGTGGAGGTGGGGAGGGGTCTCATTCATGTTATACATGGTCGGACAATGGTGACCCAAGACCGGGTCCATCGCCTCCAGGCTATGATCGTGCAGGCTCAGTCCCAAGGGTTGGTTCTGCTGCTGCTGCAGAATCGACATGGCTTGTTGATGCTGATGAGACTGCACCACTTGGCTCAAACCATTCCCACTTGTGTGCCTCGTCTGTGGGGATGACAGAGAGAGAGAGCACAGTGAGAGTCATGGTGGTCCCCGCCGTAAAGTGGAGCTGCCGGCAATGGTGTGGGTCTCAGAAACGTTGGACACACAGAAGCAGGTGGTGGTAGAGCTTGCTGATTGTTACTCTGGTTGTTCTCCATTGATGCTGAGTTGTCACCTTGCAAGCAAGCTAGCTGCTGCTTGTTAGTATTAATGCTGTTATCATTATTACTTGCTTCTGAATAGGACGACGATGAAGATCCCAGAAAGAGGTCCTGTTTATGATCAATTAAGTGATGGAGTTGATGATGAGGGTTGTGGTGGAGCCTAACTTCTGCGTTCCAAGCAGCAGGGTGAGCCATAGCAGTGGAAGGATACACGTGGGAGCTTGAGAAGGGCAACAAGTGAGTTCCTGAAAAGTCCCCGTCATTTTTTAAACTGTCACTTTCTTCTGCAATCCATAACTTCTTTAATATATTTCCATCATGTGTCAAATTGTTCTAAGTTTTATTTTTTCTCTCACTTGAAAATCAATTTTTTTTGGTCTGGTGTGACATTTAGGCCCATTCATCAATCATCACACTTGGATACAGACAAAATCAAGAAAATAATAAACACATGAACCCAGGTTCTCAGATGTCTCTCTCAAAACTCGGCTGAAGTTCGGCAGAGCAATGGACACATCAGGCTCCTAAATACACACCCTTCATTTTCTTCCCAAATGAAGAAAATCTAGACCCATTTCTCAGGAATATCAGTATAAAATATGAAAAGGGTAAGGAACTATACTGGTAACAAGTTGTGAATAGCGTAGTTCAGAAACAGTCTCTAATGCAACGTATCAGCAACTTCCACTAAGTTAGGGTTTTTTTTTTAAATAAAAAAATGGGTTTTAAAACAAGTAATTAATGGTAAAATTAGGAAATGAGGAAGAAATTCCTTCCAGGCTGGCGGCAAGAAATGATCTTTTAAACCTGGCAGCTACACTTGAGACAAGGAGTTTAGAACATGTGAGTACTTGTTACTGAGTGGCCACTAGATTGCCATGAGGGGTGAACATCAGTGGACCAAATGTCCAAATCAAGGATGTTGGTAGCGCATTGAGAGAGCCAGAATGCGTAGTTCTCAGGGGAAATTCTTGCTACTAAGATTTCTGTATCTATGTGGGGATCTTTGGCCAAGCATGCTCCAAATCAAGCCATATATGGGTCCACACACATATAATGCACAAAGCTAACCTTGGTAATTCGACAAAAAGCTTCCAGATCTCCCAACCCCTTCTGCCTGCGGCTTCCTCCTCCGTCGGTTGTGTCCATCTAAACGCTTCCTGCAACTCCTTTTCCCTTCATCAAATTCCTCCAGCGAATGAAACCTTCACACACACATTACCCCATGTAAGGAACATATATAACACATCGTCATAACCATTTTCCGCGGATTTTAAGGGATAACAAGAGGTGTTCTCTAATGTTTTTCGTTAGCAAACACTTGTCAGCAAGAGCGAGGAGGTAGATCTGCTTTCAGCAGTCTAAATCAAGTGGAAAGGACTGTGAATTGTTTGAGAGTAAAATAGCAGGATTCCTCTTGAGAAATGATTCCAGTTATGATAATAAAGATTCTTATGGTAGGACAAAAGCAAAAGAAAGTACTTAGCTAGGGTGCTTTATTTCCTGGAGGATTAATCTGAAGGCGTGTATGAGACAGAAAGTGTGTTAGTGAAGCTACAAATGAACTAAAGAGTACAAGTTCAAAGGAATCAATAATTTTGTGTAACAAACTTAAAGCATAGTAGATATCATACGGCACCTGCTACACTGTTGACAGAACCTTTGCTTGTGGCCGCCAATTGTGACCACTGGGGTCTTGGAATGGAGTTCGCAGACCTTGTGGCGCCTGTGATAGTCCCTGCAATTACTGAGATCTGAATTGCACCCATCCACAAGGCATGACACTGGTTGGGTTCCATTGTTAATTGCTCGAGCTCTCTTAGATGATCCTGAGGAAGACGATGAAGATGATGTCATCACTTTGGAGACTCCCCCAACATCTTTCCACTTGGCCACTGCTGGTTCATTACTACTACTAGAATTCCCCACCTGACCAAGCTTCAATCCACAGAAAATTCCCCTTTGCTTCTATCACTTCGAAATCTGCTGGACCCATCAATTGTTTCTATGCTAGGCAAGCCTGTTGCTTCGTCTAATTCAGCCAAATCCCATGAAGCTGCTTTCATATTCCAGTCCATAACGCTCCTCTATGAACTTCCCAGATGCATGAAAGCCAGAGAATATCAAGCAATGAAGAACGAAATCAACTAGTAAAACTCCAGTTAAGCAAGAACAGATAGTTAAAGAGAGAGGAGAAATTATGCAGAACACGGCATATGGTAAAAACTAGAAAGCCAAAAGAGCAGCTTTGGTTACACAACACATTGAACATCTGTGTGTCCGTACTCAGAAAAACAAGAAGAGAGAAATCTGCATTAATGAATGGCTTGCTGGAAAGTACCAAGCAGCGTGTGGTAGTAGCAGAGCTCCTAGAAAACTAGAAGCAACCCAAAAATGAGAAGGTCGCTAGCGAGATATAAAGAAGCAAGGAAAAGCAAAAGCATAAATAGTAATACAGAGAGGGAGAAGAGAGTACTTGCAGACAATCACAGCTTGTTAGTTTTTTCCCTTCACCACCTACTTGTTGCCTGACATTGATTCCGTTAGAGTACCGCCCAATAGAGTGGATAGTCAAAATGATAAATACTAATTTCTTGTCAACAAAGAGAGAAAGGGGATGAGATTGGACAGTGTGTTGTGAGGCAATCCCAAAAAAAAAAATAAAGAATAAATAAAAATCGAACCTGTTAGTCCTTTGGGAAGAAGGAATCGTGGGTTTGTGCAGACAAGAGGAATGGTCATCGAATTTGAGGCTTTGGGGAGAAAGAAAGACCATTGGACGTACTCTGTTTTGCAAGCTCAGATAAATATTATATTATATTTTTCTCGCTTCCTATATTTAGGGCTTCTCTCTCCCCTTTCCTGAGTATGTATCACAGCGGGTGGCCAAGGAATAGAAAGAAGGAAGATATAATAAGGACAGGCTGTTTGTAGCTTTCAACTTTTGCGAGTCAGGATGAAATGTTTAAATAAAATAAAAGGGAAAAAAAGTACAAGAATGGATGCTCAGCACAAGGCATGTGGCATTGTGTTTTTCACATTGCATGGCATGTCTTTTTCTTTCGCCAAATTTGCTTTTATTAATCATAATTGTAACGCTCATATAGTCATATTCAAACATTGTTTTTTAGTTTAAGCGCAGTGTTATAATTTTTTTGGGTAAAAATAGTGTTTATAATTTTAATTTTTGAGTGTTAAACTTGTTATTACATATTAACCTTTTCATTACCTAAGCCGGTAAATTAAAACTTTTTGGTATTTTTTTTATTTTTTATATGCGTGTTGTTTTTTGGTAAAGTAGTGCTTTTTTTTTCAACTTGTTATTTTTTAAGTTTTTTTTTAATAAAATGAAATGCCCTTATGATGGATGGAGTGTGATAGTTATAGCCTATTTTTGAGTAAATTTAATTAATATAAAATTGATAAAAAAATTTATTTGAATGAATCATATTCAAATATTGTCATACCTAATTAAAATATATTTATACATTCACAAGAACGAAAAATTGAGATCTTATATTTAAGTGATCAAATATAAATTGATTACGGATTGTTTATATGTAATTAAAAAATTGTTATCTGCAAGACATGAGTAGTAACCTAATGTCAACACTTGTAGTGACCTAATCTATAAGTAATCATTGAGTTATGCATCATTGCATCCCACTCTAGTTGTGTGTGTTTCTGTCTCCTTCCCATGGAAAGAGTTAGATTATGAGTAAATTATTTTTAAAAAATATGCAACTTACTCTAATCATAATGAACTTTTGAACAGAACTGAGCTTATCTTTGAAAAAAAAACACAAATAAAGAAGAAAAATATTTTCATCATGTTTGAAGACTGATCTGTGAGGCGAGGAAAGGAGAAACTAATTCCTAAATTGATAGAGAGGAGAAAATAAAACAGTGATTTGAGTGGTAACAACAACAGCAAGTTGATGTGGAATTTATGGAGGAGAGAGGGAATGTGTTAGCTGAAGGTGGAGCCCCACAAGACAACATGAGGTTCATTTGAAAGGGAGAGTGGGAAGCAAAAGACATCAAAATTTGAATGAGGAATCCAAATCTTGACGATGATGAGAGTGCGAGGAGGTCGATGATCATGAGTGTTGTGGTGGGCCTTGCCTTTCATTTTTAACTTGCATTCATTTTCTGCTCCCTCCTCCCAAAATGGCTAAGATTCCTCCCTACAAATTAGACGCAGCAGCAACAAGCAATTCGGATCTTTTCTTTTTATGCATCTTAATTTTATTTATAACTCAATTCTAAATATATTTTGCCGGGATCAAAAAAACTTCATAATTCATCAACTCTTTTCAAAATTTTAATTTCATCTTTATTAAATATAAAATATACATATTTAAATAATTATTTTTTCTTATTAACATTCAAGGGGGGGTAAAAAAAAGAAGCCTGTGATAAAAATTTTAATGACGTGCCTTTTAAAATTATACCAACAATATTCTTCCGAAATTAAGAGAAATTATTGAAGTATTTTTTTTTTGCCACTGTTAAAAATATTTTGTATACCAACTCAAGTTGATATGGGTGATATTGGGGTTTGTGGGAGGTTTAAACTTTAAATCGCAACACTTGTATATGTATGGCTCTGTTTGTGCCTTGTGGATAATATATGAATTCATAAAAATTTTAGATTGTAATATACAATGTAGGGAAACATATTAAATTTTTATTATGTTTTTTTTAAATAAAAGGAAAAGATGGAGGTACTAGATGATCGGGGTCCAGATATTAGATGGCTTGCCAAATGAAGGCAAGGCAAGAGTGAGATGATGCTTCCATGATGGTCATCCAATTTCATCATTCCATTGTCAGGGTTGATGGCCATGGGGTCCTCTTATGATCTCATCCGCTATTTACTCCTCTCTTCGCTCCATCTATTACTGCCTTCCTTTCCTTATGATTGTATCATTGGCATGTTACATTTTCACTTCTTCTTATTAAAAAAGAAAAAAAGAAAAAGAAAACAATTTAGTACCTATATGGTTTTTTTCCTCATCTTTTCATTTTTAAAAATTGTTTTGTAATGCAATTTTTTAAATTTTTAAAATAAAATAAATGAAAATCTGTTTTGGTTGTGTCAATTAAAATAATTTTTAAAATTAAAAAGGAATTGATAGTGATGATTATATATAGTTCATGTTGGTTATTAATAATAAAAATTGCTCAAGGTAGTTGTAATTTTAAATAATCAAATGTAGGTATTTTAAAAATAAAAAAAATAAAATGAAAACAACTAAGATTTTTTCACAATTTTTTTGTTTTTTTTAAATAAAAACAGTTTTAAAAAACAACTACATAAAAAACACTTATCAAAACAAATTTTTAAATTTTTGTTTGCAAAAATAAAAAACAAACAGTTCTCAATATGATGAGTTTTTTTTTCCCCTTCTCACCACGCACAAAAAGTCTTTCTATTGAAATACACCCAAGCTTGAGAGTTGAGACATGGGTACAAACTTGCATATTTCTCTCATTGAAATTTGAAACTAACTTCATTCCCATACTAAGAAGCTTATTCCTGTTCGCTGAATCCTATCTAGCTATAAGGTAGGCAATTTAACATGCCAAATTGAGCTCAACTCAAGATAGAACAATTTTTTTAGCAATCCAAATTATTTTATTTAATTGGCTAAATGGACCAACTCAGTCGACTTGGCCCAAGTTTCTAGCGCTATGATAAATACATACTCAACTGAAATAGTGTCATGGTGAAAATACAAACAAATAATACTAAATCTAGTTTGTTTTTAGTGTTTTTTTTTTTTTTTTTCTAATTACACAAGGAGAGTTTGAACTTTGACCACTACCACGTATCCATCCATCCGAGCTAGTCATAACGTTTCTGTGCATCAAGAAAAGATAGATGTATCGACCATGTAATAAAAGTTTTGTGTTATTAAACACGTTTTCAGTTACATATAAAGAATTAACAAATTAAATGCTTTGTATACTGTTAATTTTTTATTATATACTTATATATATTCATATTTAAAATAAAATATAAAATTTATAAAAAAGATACACTCTTTATACGTACGTTCCTTCCTCCGCTAGACATCATGAGACATTTTTTAAAGTGTTACATTTTAAATATAAGCTATTTTTATATTTTAGATACAATTAATAAGATTTTTTTTTTCAAAAACACTTTGAATGAGAAATATATTTAATAAATTTTATTAATTAAAGTACCCTATTAAATAAAAATACATATAAAAAAGCATATAATTTTAAAGATAATTAATTGATTTATTGAAAGATATAGGGTGTGTTTGGATTTTAATTGGAAAAAATTGATTAAGAAAAAAATTGATTATTAGAATGTGATGGTGTTTGGATAAATTTTCAAAAATTGATTATGATATTGATTTTTCAAATGGAACAAATTTTAGCTTATATCCAAATGGAGTTTTGGAACCAAATGGAGTTTGGGAAAATTGGGGTGTTTTTGGATAAAAAAATTTTCAAAACCATGTTTGAACCCAAAATTGATTCTAATGGGTATCCCATAATTATAATTCTATAAAATAGCTCATCATATTAAACTCATAGGCACACAGTAGTCAAACTAAGCCCATATCACAGGAGTAGAAATGAATAGCAAGTAGATGGGGACAAAAAATGTGAGAGTGAGCGGTGGGCGAGGGCCGAGGTGAAAAAGGGAGAGAAAGAGGGGGAAGTGAGGGGGGAGTAGGGAAGATAGGGGAGAGAGAGAGCACTATTGAACCTGCGGCTAGTCAGCTACCCATAAAGTCAGCGTGGCAGCCATAATTGGCAAACTCAGTCACCCTCTACTCTTCACTGTTCATCATCTGACACGTGTATCCTCCTCTCTCTTCTCTATCTCATTTTTTTAATAATAAAAAATATTTCTTTCATTTTAAATTATAAGATACTTTTAAATAAAATTTTATATTGATAAACTTAATTGAATACACTTAATAATTTTATATTTTTAAAATAAAAATATAAATTTTAAAAATATCAATCATTTAATACATTAAAAAGAGAATAGGCGAATAATTATAAAGAAATAAAAGATAATATTGAAATGGAAAAATTAATCTTTTAATCCTCAAACTTTTAAGTAACTTATAACTCAGTCCCTCAATTATGACTCGCTGTGACTCAATCCCTCAACTATAACTCGTCCATGACTCAGTCCCTCAACTTTTGAATCACTTACAAATTAGTCCTCTTAACTTTTGTTACTTTTTTTTTCATGTTAGCTTTATCTCACTATGAATAAGAAAGAAGAGGATATTTAAAATAATATATGAGCATTTTTTTATCCCTCTTATTTGATAAAAAAATTTAAAAAAAATTAAAAATAAGGATCGAGTTATAGGTAAATTAAAAGTTGAGAGATTGAGTTGCAGCAAGTTATAGTTGAGGGATTGAGTCGCAGCGAGTCATAGTTGGAGAACTGAGTTACAAGTGAATTAAAAGTTGAAGGACTAAAAGATTAATTTTTTCTATTGAAATTGATACATTTAATGAAATTTTAGTCTAATCAAAATATTTTTATATTTAAGATAAAAAAATATTTTAAAAATACTCTATAACTTAGGATAGAAGGAGTATAAAGTATTTTTTAAAAGAGTGAATATTCAAAAATTACAAAGCATTGTTAATGCTTTAAAGTGTGATTAATATTTTTTAAAGTTTTTATAATAAATAAATTATTTTATATTTTTTTAAATGAAGTAGTTGATTAAATAACTATAAATATAAAAAAAATAATGTTAATTTAAAAATAATTAATTACTTTATTAATGTAAAATTTAATTAAAAATATATTAAATTTTTAAATAAAGAGAGTAAATAGTTATATACTGCTTCCATTGCCTTGCCCCTATTGTAAGATAATTTTTAAAATATTTTTTGACCCTTAATATAAAACATATTATGGGAAATTAATTACATTATTTTAATATTATTCATATTTAAATTCTTTAATTATGAGATAAAATGTATGGAAGTTAAAAAAATTCATTTGAATAAAGATAATATTAAAAATTTATTTTTTTTAAAGTAAGTTAATCACCTAATCACTTTTCATTGATTTTGATAAGATAATTGAAAATATTTTATAGCAAGGATAGAAAGGAGCACGTGGCTTAAAAAAATGTTTTTGTATAATATGTACTCCCAATACGTTCTTTTAATTATTTTATTGAAATTAAAGAATAATAATTAATTCATTAAATATATCTTTAAATGAAATTTTTTTAAAACATTTTGTATAATCTATGCACATTAATCACCATTAAATCCTCATGATTATGTTTAAAAATATACTATTGAGACTAACGATGCAGTTAGATGAAACTTGAGGAATTACGAGAAACGAAAAACGGTATGGGGACTAAACAAAATTAACAGGGGTCAACAATTACATTTTTACTTCTTTCATGCAATAAATTTTATGAGCAGGTGCTTCTGAACAATTTTCCTTTATTCGTTTTAAAAATCTGTTTGCTTATTTTGCCAGTTTTTGCTCAATTTTCAAACAACTTCGATTTGATTCAATAAAAATTGCTTTGCAAAATCAATCAATCAATTATTTATAATACTTCGTCCTTTGTAAATTGTAATACACTTTTAAAAGAAATTTAAAATTCCAAAATATAAGATATTTTAGCAAAACTAATGTTTCATTAATTATGTTTTTTAAATATTACATTTTTTATTATATTCACTCTATTATATTCTTTTATAAATGGAACAGTAAATGAAGAATGTTTTTAAAAAATTATATTCTCTTTATCCCAAACTATAGGGCACTTTTGAAGTAATTTATCTGTTCTAAAATATAAAAAATTTTGAGTAAATTAATGTTTCATTAAATACATCAATTTTAATATTAACCTTTCTCTCTCTATAATTACTTTTTATCTATTTTCTTTTCAATGTATTAAATGATAAATATTTTTAAAAGTTTATATTTTTGTTTTGAAAAAATAAGATTGTTAAGTGTATTTTATGAGGTTTATTAGTATGTGAGATTTTATTTAAAAGTGTCTTATAATTTGGGACGGAGAGAGTATATTTTTATTTTTTAAAAAATAAATTATAAAATATATTTAATGAGTTTTATTAATATTTTTAATTTAATTTAAAAATATTTTATAATTTAAGATTGATTAGGGTAAAAATTTTAAGAAACAATGGCTAAAAGCAAAAAGAGTTTATAAAAATGAAATAATTGAAAGTATTAATGAATCAAGCGTGTTGGATGTGCAAGTAACGATGACACAGGCAGAGGAATTCCAAGTGCCGCAACAAAAACTGGACTCTCCGGTTCCGTAATTAAATAAGACTTGAAGGAAGTGCACTGGACTCTCCAGTTTCAACATATAAAGGAGGAGAGGAGTGGACCATGAACAGACACAGAGGTTGGCACGTGGGACCCCTCCCAGGTCTGTGATTCTTCCATTGTTGGTCGGATTGAGTTGGAGATGCTTGCAATCAGAATATGAAATTGAATTGGATGGAATAGGAGAGATGCTCGGAAATGGCAGTGCTCATGGGGAAGGACTGAGATGGTTGCTAGGCCACGCCCAGGAACAGGAAGCCAGGTCGCCACATGTGGTCCGTTACAATTACAATCCCATAGCCGCCGTTCGAATGTTTTGCCGGCATGTCCCTCTCCCTCTCACTCTCTTGCTTTCTTTCTTCCCCTTTCTTTCACCTCTCTGTATATGTATGTATCCTTCCCGTTCTGAATCTTTTTTTTTTTTTGGTATAAACTATCCAATATTCTGGAATATTCTGAGTTTATTTTCTGTCCCGGACCCTCCGTGAGAAGACCTTACGATGGAAGCAAGATACTGATAGGACGATGTCTTTAAGGTAGTATTAATTATCATGTTTGTTATTTCTTAAAATTCGAACCCTCACCTGCTGAATGTCGATAGTAATCTTTGCCAACTTTACTAAGCGGTCATTAGTGTTTTGATTGGTTTTGATTTTATCCTTTCCGAAAGAATAATGATAAATGAAGCCCATTGGATCTGGATTTGGTTGGGGGCCATTATGAGCCCTCTTAAGAATTGGGCTTCATGGGCCTAACTGGGGCACCAGAAGAGAGCGAGTTCCGTTCATAAGCCTGTTTAGCTAGTCACGCCGAACCAAGAGTAGAACAGAATATCCCTCTCAAAATTACTCGAATGTTTCATTGGAGGAATGATTATTTGGTATAATTATTATTTAAAAATTAATAAATTGAAATGGGTTATAACTATGTTTTGTTTTTTAATTTTAGAGAAAGAGAAAATAAAACATTGAAGGGGGTGGGAAAAATGAAATAATTGTATAAATTCTTGATCCTCAAATTGGAGTTTGGGCAAAAATGAGCTTGGAATGACCGAACCAATTTTTTGTCACTCCATTCCAAACTGAAAGATTCCGAACACTACCTGCGCAGAGCTATCGGCGCCTCCATGCCTCCTCCAGATTCTTGAAATCCAACCTTGTCGCTGTTGCTCTTCCTTCACAATATCGCTGTCGTCGTTGCTCTGTTTGCCGCCGCCGCTCTTCCTTCTCGTCGTACTCCGTTCGAGCTCTTCAGTTCTCGCCTGTGCTTTGCGCGTTCTGCCGTTCGTGGTTGCTGTCTGCTTCTTTACTCTCAGCTCTTGTCGTTGCCGTCGAGTTTCTGGTTTGTTGCCTTTCTTGTCCTGGGTTCATTACCTCTCTGCTTCTTCGGTGAAATTTTGAATCTTGGTAGAATTTAGTCTTAAATATGAATGAACGGAAGAACTAATGAATCTGGAGTGCACTAGGGCTCTCAGATCTATAAATGGTTCCCTATTGGAAACTTACTTGGAGTTTTACCTTCATCCTGTTTAACAAAACCAAGCTGCATAATCTTCTTCCTGAGGGGTATTCGTACTAGATCGATGTAAGTATGTAACAAACAGAGAAGTCAATATGACAAGAACAGAACACTAATATGAACCAACAATACATTGTGTACTGTTGGAAACATATTTTGGAAAGTGATAGAGATTAATTTAACATTTTTATAAGTTTTTGTTTTTCGAAAGACATCGTTATTTCCTCCCCTGAAGATATGACAGTAAATATGTTCACTTTTTTACGACTATAAACTATGTCTTCATCGAGCACAACGTGATTCCGCTGAACAAATAGGATAAAATGAAGATTGAATAGAGAGTTTTTTTGGATCAACATGGAGAGGAGGGACATCGACAAAGAGGAAGAAAACACCTAGCATTAATCCATGCCCAAAGCTCAAAACAGGTGGCCGCTGACTACTTTTTATTAACATGCAAATTTTAGTAACTAAAGAAGAAATTAAAATTTATCCAAATACAAACTGCGTTGCAATAATTGACTTTTATCAAATTAATTTTTACCAAAAACCAAACACACTTATCGTGCAGCTCTCCTCTGACAGGCTACTTTTTTAACAAAGCCTACTTAAAGCCTTTAAGGCTTGATTCGAGAAGCTTTTTCAATGGCCTACATATTAAGTAGGCCTCTTAAATTTCTTCAGGCCTGCTTGTAGGCTTAGTCTTGAAGCCCCTGGCTTGGTCTGTTTTCACCCCAGACGTCAATCAAAGAGCTCAAACTTGGTTTGGCACTTTAGTTTGGAGTCTGGACACAGTAAGTTTTTGAAAGTCAAATTCGGGAGTTGTGGAGCAGGCTGCATCTGGGAATGGATGGTGAAGAGTTGACGGAGCAAGAGACCGCGTTGTATGATCGTCAGATTAGGGTATGGGGTGCTGATGCTCAAAGGAGGTACATTCACTTTTCCCCTTAATTTTCTGAATCTCTTTCATTGTTTTATGCTTGATTTCCCTATCTGTTATACAACTGAAGCCTGAATTTCCACAATTTGACTTTTCTTTTGTGATTCTGTTGTTTTAGACTGAGCAAAGCTCATGTCCTGGTTTATGGAATGAAAGGAACTGTAGCCGAGGTAAACCTGCGATTTTCCTTTCCTAAGTATTTCAAACTGAATATTCAAAAGTACTTTAACGAAATGGGTGTCTTTCTTTGGGGCTAATTGGTTCAGGTGCCTAATTTTTATTTTTATTACTTCTGTTTCTCGTGTCTTAGTTTTGCAAGAATATCGTTTTAGCTGGAGTTGGTAGTTTAACCTTAGTTGATGATCGAGTGGCGACTGAGGAGGCAGTGTCCTCAAACTTTCTCATCCCTTCTGACGAGAATGTTTATAGAGGGAAAACCCTTGCTGAGCTTTCTTGTGATTCACTTAAAGATTTCAATCCTATGGTCCGTGTTTCTGTGGAGAAAGGTTTGCACTCTCTCTTTCCTCTTCTCTATATTCATTTTCTTATCAATATTGGGTTGTCATTTTCTGTTATTTCCTGGGGTACAGGTGATTTGTCAGGTTTTGGTATTGATTTCTTCAACAAGTTTGATGTTGTAGTAATAAGTTGTTGCTCACTTGCTGCTAAGGTGTGATGTTAACAATTCCCCCTCTATATTTGTGGCTTCATTTTCACATAAGCCCTTGCAGAGTGATAAATTGTTGTCTGCTTTTTTATGGTTATCCATTTATCTATCGCATTATGTTTTCACTGCAGAAACTTGCTAATGACAAATGCCGGAAGCTATCAAAGAGAGTATCTTTTTATACCGTTGACTGTAGAGATTCTTGTGGGGAAATATTTGTTGATCTGCAGGACTATCGATATTCGAAGGTATGTCTCAGATATAGTTTTGCATGGATCTCAATGCTGAATGTTTACCTTTGTTTGGATGGAAAGAAAATTAGAGAAAAGTACTATTTTAATTTGTTCATGCTTCTATTTTCTTGTGCAGAAAAAATTGGAGGAAACTATTGAATGCCAGTTACAATACCCGTGTTTTGAGGTACGTCTTTGTTGATCATGATTTCTTAGTGATCCATGCCTATCTTGACCTTGTGTTACATGATCATCAGTTTGTATGTTTCTTGGAACTGAACCTACCAAGTACTATCCTGACGAAGAACCACAAAGTTCTCGTCCTCCATTATCCTTGAAGTGACCTTACATATTTTTTCTCCCAAGGGAACATGACTGAAACAACAGAGTAATTTAATTGAAAATTTACAACATGTACAAGTTCTAAAACACACAATGGGCTATGTTATGTTTGTATATATAATATAGTTTGCTTCTGATGATGTGTCGTATTCATGTATGCTTCACAAGCTTGTCTAATTTTTATTTCTTTTGCTGCAGGATGCAGTATCAGTACCATGGAAGGAACTTCCCAGGAAGACATCAAAGCTGTATTTTGCAATGAGAGGTGTGATAAATTGCCCAATTTTAGACTGGAAATTTACTCTACAAAGTTATGATGGAAAAGAGAGATAACTGGAGAGAACATATTGCTTACATGCCCTTTATTTGTATCTCCGGGCATTTATTTTCAAGAACACCTTTGTACAAAGCTCTATCACATAATGCTGCCTTTGAAATGGGAAATTACTTCTTAACCCACAATTATTATTATTATTATTATTATTATTTGTATTTAGTTTCAGCATCTAATTTCTCTTGCAGTTATAGAAAAGTTTGAAGAGGCTGAAGGACGAAGTCCAGGCGAGGTTTCAATTGCAGATCTTTCTGGTGTCCTCCAGCTGAAAAAAGAGCTATGTACTGCACAGGTAAGCTACCTGGAATTTGCTGTGCTATTTATACTTTCTGCATCCACTGTTCATCATCTTAGCTTGCTGATTTTCTTGACACAGTCTGTCAATGAATCTCACGTGCCTGATAGTCTTCTAGAAAGATTGGTAGCAAATACAACAGAATTTCCTCCTGTTTGTGCCATAATTGGAGGAATCCTTGGACAGGTATTCCTTACAACAACATTTAAGTATGAAATATTTACCCTTGTTACACTAATCTGATTAAGTTGATTGTTATAACCTTGTAGGAAGTTATCAAAGCAATATCAGGAAAAGGAGACCCTCTAAAGAACTTTTTCTTCTTCGATGCCGTGGATGGGAAGGGAATTATAGAGGACATTTCAAAACCATCCGAGGCCAAGTAAAAGGAACAACCTTGTGGGAAATATGCAGGGTATTATTATACAATCCATTGAAAGTAGAGAAGTATAGTTAATATTAGCTGATCTGTTGGCAAAACTGACCCCTTAAGCCTATTGTTTTGCTAATTATTTCGTACTGCGCGCCTGTATCTTTAGCTTTTTATTCATCTGGCTTTTTTCATGTAAGCTTTGGGCTTCTTGTTTATGCTCCATCACTAAGCACTTGGACTTCTGTGGTAATCTTCACGCGTTACCTAGATATTAAGTGTAATGTCTGACGATCATACAGATAGTGGATTTGAATCTCTTGTGAACAAACGAACACACTTCAAGCAAAATTGTAGAAGTAGTGAACCAATAAGAGAAAGTTTGAAGATGCTTTGGTTATTATAATTAAAGAACTCTTCACTATAGACTGCTTTGTGAAATTAATAATGTGGTCAGTGGGTCGATGCATCGAAATCGTCTCTTAAAGTGAATAGAAAGACACGAGGGAAGAACGCAATTATAGCAGCATAGACCCCATGACTTTGACCTGATTGGACGGTGATAACATAATATAAAGTCCAGGCACCTAAAAAATAATGATAATTCAAAATATTTGCGCCAGTGAAAATTCATAATGATTATATCAGCGAAACAAGATCCTTATGATGAAATCTTCATGATCCAACCCAACGAAGAAAACACTATTTTTGAAAATGTTAGAATGTGATTGTATTACTATCCCGCTAGATCCTTGCCATAATTCAAAACGATTTGAACCCTAGAATCCCTGTTCATTGGTTCATCCTTCCAAAACCCCACACCATGATGAGATCAAAGTGGAAAAAGAAGAAAGAAAGGCGTCCCCACAATGGAAAACATCCATGGAAAAGTAAGACATGGAAAACAAAACCATCTTTGCAATAATTCGCAGCAACACTGGGACGACGCCTTAAAGCAATCCATCATGTTGACGACTTGTTCACCAAGATGTTCAACACATTCAGACACCACCATAGCCATAGGGAAAGCTATTCAACTCATGAACACCTCTCCCAGAGACCTCATGTCCTTGCTTCAACAAAACTCATCTTTCCCACAACCATGGAAGCTGAGGACCAAAGACATGGCAGTGCAAGAGATCCTCCGGGAGCGTAGGGAAGCCATTGAGACTGGAAAGTTGAAGGGCCGGCGACTTTTCGAGCCAATACAGGGAGGAAGAACAATTCTCAACGATGAGTTGAGTGGTGATATGGGCCACGAGAATGAAGTGAGGTCCTTGTCTTATGATTATTCCGATGATGAAACTTTTTCACCACCACCACCACCACCATCCTCTTTGCCTCGTCTGTCATGTGATTCTCTGGACAGAGACCAACAGGTGAATGAAGAAGAAGTGTCACATGATGTTTGCAATGCAGAGGCAAGAGTTTCTGATACGAGGCCTGGTAATGGAAGAAGGTACATTATTTTTCTGGGTGTGAATGTGATTGCTATTGCTTTGCTTATATTTGCAATTTGCAAAAGTTGGGTTAGAAGATTTGAAGATCATGAAGTGATTTTAGTGCCAACATGACCTGTGTTACTGAACTAGCAGGGTGATGATTTTGTTGGCGACTTCCTTGAGATGTTGATTTCTTTTGGCAGTTTATGATTTGGACTGTCAACAAATTTTCTTGGTATATTCTGGAGATTGTATCTTATTAACAATTATGACGATGAGTTTTGGAACTTACTATCTGTTGTGAGGCACATGTCGATTCAATCCAAATGTTAACTAATAAATATCCGAAACAGAGAATCTGGTCGGCAATCGCTTGAAAAACTTGCTGAAACAGTGAAATTCATTCTCTCACTTTCCGAACAAAATACGGTATTGTCTCCCTTAATCAGCCCTTCAATTCCCTAGTCCAAGTGAAAATCACATTCTACGTATTATTACCCACAGACTAAACAATAAATAAATAAATAAATAAATAAATAAAAATAAAGAAGGGTTTTCTCACCTTTTCTTTTCTTTTCTTTTCTTTTTTTTGTCTTTTTCATGTTTTTAAAAAAGTAGGGAAAATTGGAACTGAAGACCTACAAAAATTAGTAATAATCATTTAGGATCACATACGTTGAAATTAAATTTAGGATCATGGTCCTTTTTTTAACAGTTTAAATATTAATGTTTTGATTTTTGTACTAAAACATTCATGTCTGAAATACGCATTTAGTCATTTCTAGATTTTTTTTTATAGCAATAGTTGTTTACTGCAGAAAAGATCCTGATTCTTAAATTCAATTTCAAAACTTTAAGGTTCTCAATGGTTGTTGCTGAGTTTTACAGGTCCATTTTTGTGATTTTTCCTAAAAATGTTTCTCAATTTTTTGACAAAAAAAAGACTCTATCCTGTCGAGGGCCCATCTTTCATATATGTGCGTGTTGGGCTGCCAAAAGAAGAAATAAAAGAGAAACGATGGGCGGCAACTCTCATAATCAATCGCAGCCCAAGACCCAATAGTCTAAGTTCAAACTTCAGTCATAGAGCATTAAAATATACAAGTAAGGAGAATCTAACATTAGATATCTAAATAATATATATACACATGTGAAAAAGATTTAGAAATATCTAAGGTTATAAACAATAGGTCCTTGGTCCTTACATCGAGAAATCGCAACATTTTGGTGGGTCTAGTAAAAATGATAACAATAATCATGTAACGTTTCCACTGTAATGGATTAATAGCTCTATTTTTCTTTCTAAATAAATCATTTAACTTCAAAAACTACTACCTAATCTAGATTAGATGTAAGTCTTCTATCAATTTGAGATATATAGACTTATGTGCTTGAGCCCTCAAAAGTCAGGTTAACTCTTATTGAGTGTTTTAACTTGCAAGATGAGAAAAATTTTGAGAGGGAATTATTAAAATAGGAATAACTAAAAAAGAAAAATAGGGTGGCAATAGGAATAGAGAGGGTTTGAGGCGTGTTGGTGCCCCAAACACGCAGTAGGACAGGACGACCCAAATGTTGAAGTATGAGAATGGAACAATAAGTGACACACACCAACAATGTCTCGTGTGTACGTGGATGTCGATTTTGCGTATATTCCAACTAGAATGATGTATTTGTCCATTTTGACGTTTGCCCAACCAACAGGAATAGCTTAGCTTGTATCTATATGCCCCCTTGTCATGGATACATTGCATGTTTTGTGTGTAGGCACGTAACGTCTCATGTATAAAGTGTTTTTCTATATGTGTTGTGCATTTACAGTTCTGGATGTATCAACATTCAACGCTATCAGTGCTATTAGTTCTTGTCATTTTCATTTCACAAGCAGCTGGGAATGATTTTTCCTCTTAATTAGTGTCTCTATGCACACACGCGTGGCATTATTTGATCTTCAGAGGTTTAACAAGGTTAAAGCATGTCCTTAAATTTAAAGAATACTTGTAAAAATATTTTCATGTCATCACTCATCAATGATATCCTCATATTGATAATGTGATTTGAATTCACAATCTTGTAAATTATAGGTCAAGTCTTTATCTTAGATTGACCTTTGTTGACCCTTTTGCAACCTTGTGAATTACATGCATAAATATATATTATAATAATGAATTTTAAAAGAAAGTTGTCTACCGAACCAAGCTCATCACCAGAGCTTTAAGGGAGTTCAGTCTACAAGACAAAGTAGCGGTGGTATATTTGTTCATGATGGAGATCTGTCGTCCTTCCCTTTATAATTTTTCAAGCACAGTAAAATGATCATGAAATTGTTAAAATTAGTATCTCAATTCATACAACTTGAATAATATATTTTTTTTCACGGATTTTTTTTTCATATATTATGATATAATTCTGAACCCAGAAGAAAATAAAATTCTTCAAAATTAACAAGACCTTTTTTCAAATTTAGGGATTATAAATCAATATTTCTTCTTCGGTTGCAACAATTCCATCATAACCAGCTCATCTGACCAAAATTTTATTAGTTATACCATTGAGCTTAAATTTTCTTAAGCCAATAAACTAAACAATCATGTAAAGAGGATAACATGTTACCAGCAGGACTGTGAAGCTAAAGTGAATAGGAAAACTATTGCGTCTCATTAATATAACTACAGGATTGAATCTTCTGATCTAATTCTTTCGGTTCCATGGAAATTAAATTCGTGATTAATTATAGTTAATCCCCTTTTCCCTCCAAAACAGTTACGGAGAAGACGACACAACCTCACCGTCAACCCTCGAATATGTTGAAGATGCATATTCATCCATCACAATTTTCAAAATATGCAAATTAGTCACTACTAGATATGACATGTGCATCATTTTCACCCAGAAAATATCATATCAGTTTTGTAAAAAGTATATATATATAAGACGAAATCACAGTGTGTTCAAAATCACGCGCTGCTGAGATAAAAGGATCAATCATGCGAGACTGTGTGATACCTGACGAGTACATCGATAGATTAGTAAAGAAGCTCATAACGTGAACCATGAGGTGATTATCATTAGAGAACCACTGTCACAACGCATGAACTATTGAGAAGTCAAGTAGCTTGACTTGATATGAAAAAAAGTTTCACATCATACGGAATTAAAATAAAAAGGAGGTACATGAGTGAACAAGAATCATAAATTCAATGCCTTAAAATTTTAGATTAAAATGTGATATCATACTTATGTGTCCTCTTGAAATGCTTCCTTAACAAAGTTAATGTAATCTCAGACGGTGCGAATGCGATAAGTATGATTCTGAGAGACTCTTCATAAAACCATCTCTAGTGGGATATTATACAATAAGCTATTGATTCTGGAAAGAAATTGGTTTGTAAAGTTTATCATGCTGACGCTTTAGTGAAGTTTGCTCAGACACTTCTCACGGAGGACTATTTCTTTAACCATCCTCCTCTGTTTATCCAGAAAGAGGAGAAAGGAAAGAGAAATAACCTATTAGATGTGTCTTGATCTTGTTTCTTGATATATGAATGAATCATCTTTTATTCCAAAAAAAAAAAAAACTTCCTTAGCCAACGTGAACATCATAAGAACATCTTGAAATGATTAAGAATGTATTTGTTCTTATGAGTTAATCTTGTTCCTTTCCTCTTTAAAGCTCGGCCTTCCTTTATATATATATTTTTAAAAAAAGTTAAGAGGAGAAAATTCAATTCAATATAAAATATTAAATTTCCATTTAACTAGCCATATACACACGGTTAGTAAGTTGATTATATATAAACAATACTACTCATTTATCGATCAAATTTTATACTATATATAAAGACGATACTATTAGTGTGGACGTATATTATGTAGAGAAACCATATAT